TGAGCGGCGCCGTCGGCGGACGCAGAAGAATATGAAGAGCAGAATCGTGGCTGCAGCGAGGCCGACGATCAGGAAGACTCCGGCGACCGCACCCTTGTTACGGAAGAATCTGGAGAGAAAGGAAGGTCAGCTCCGACCTTGGAGCGTGTTTGACCGGAGGACAGATAGCGAGCAGTTACTCACTGAGACGTCGCAGTGGCATCGTTGTTGACGCTTATTGGCGTAGGATTTGCTACAACGATCGTCACGTAACTGGCCGCTCCGTTGCTCCCAGTGACCATGGACGTCTCCGTGATATATGAAGGGGCAGAGGTGACCGTCTGACCCTGACTGTTTGTGGTTGTGACGTAGACGGTACTCTGGAAGGTTGTGCTGTAGAATAGCTGAGATCAGCCAGTGCAAATTTCCAGTTTGCGATCGGTACTTACGTCGCTGTCACCTCCTGGCTGCTAGTTGACGAGCCCTGCGACGTCGGCCCACCACCACCACCAGTCCAACTCGTACTGGAGGACGTCGGCGTCGGCGTCGTGGAAGTTGTAGACGACGTCGTGGTGGTTGTGGTCGTTACTATAGCGGTGGGGGTTGTGGAGGTGGTGGACTGCTGGGAGGGTGTCGAGAAGCTTGAAGTATGCGAACTCGTGATGAAATCGGCATTCGATGGCGACGCCGAAGAAGAGGACGAGGACGAGGGCGAGGACGAATGTGAAGAAGGCGGAGGCTGAGAGGATGAAGTCACACTCGACGAAGTCGGAGTAGAGGATGGAGTGTCGGAAGAGGACGACGAAGTGGGTGACGTCGAGGTCGACTGCTGAGTAGACGATGCCGTCGACGACTCGGTGGACGATTCGGTGGTATGAGTAGTAGTCGATTCGGTTGAGGACTGGCTCGATGACGTCTCCTGCGAGGTCGTCGATGAAGAGGCCGGCGGAGTAGAAGATGTAACTTCATTATTTTGTGTACTTGCGGATGTCGCGCCGGCGGTAGACGACATGGCTGCTGACGTACTAACAGCTGCGGATGTAGCGGAACTGACCATAGGAAAATCGGCCCATGATGGTAAGAGACAAGAACCTCGCTACGGTGATTTACTTACGCAGCGGACGAGGCCTCGGTGGACGATTGTCCGGCCGAGGTTGATGCGACGGAGGAAGGTTCCTGCCTCGAGGACTGTTGAGTAGCAGAAGACGCGGGAATCGACGATTGAGTGGACTCGGTCGCCGGAGCAGACGAGGACATAGACTGGGAGCTATTAGCGGCAGATGTAGTGTCCGTGCGAGACGTATCCGACGTTGTTGAAGGCGTGCTTGTGGTCGTAACGGTAGCCGTGGAAGCAGAAGTAGCAATAGAGTTTGTAGCAGAAGTTACAGCGCCGGTCGAGGAGACACCCGTGGCGGATCCAGCCAGCGAAGTACCTGGGAAGGAGGAGGAAAACGGTGTGAACACGCGCAACTGATGCAGAGAGACAGAAAACCAATACGAAGCTGATCTGCCACGAAATGCAGCTCCGGTGTGGCAGTGACAAAATACGCGATCTCCACCACGAGAGGTACTCCAGAGGGGGATAGAAAAAACTAGACGCACTGGAGAGCCAGCGTCCAGGCGAGACAGGGCGAAGCCACAACACGAGGCGAAACGCGGGCAGGGGCCGCCGCTGGACATAGGACGCTCACTCACCTGCGCTGGTGGACGGACTATCACTCGATGTCTGGCGTCCGACGAGAATAGGAAGGCGAGCCATGGGAGCTAGAGGATACGAAGAACAAGAGAGAAGAACATGCTGGAAATAATAATAGCTGGCTGGTGAGCTGCGCCCACGCCCCCGACGCTATCGCTAACCTGAGCAGTGCCCCACTCCACGTGCGCTTCCTACTCCCTCCCCTTTCCCTTTCCTGGCCAGCGTCCTCGAAAAGCCTCCCAATTCACGGCTGCTGCATTCTGACATGGAGCCTCGAGCAAGTCATAACGAAGTCGGGCTTGAGAACAACGCTGCGAACTTGTATGCAACTCCTGGTATCTCCGCAGCCGCTATTACTTCATGCAAAGCGTCCTTCTTTTCGGTCGCGAAGACTTGATACCTAGCAGGCGGATCCGCAGTGGCTTGGTGCTCATCGCTAGGAGACCCCCGGGCGAAGGTGTCGTTTTCAGAGGACAGAGATCCAACTCGCGAAGCAGGAGTGATCAAGCGCGCCCAGCTGCTCTTCTAGGCTTGTTCTATACCATCCCTGGCCCCATCGACGTTAAACTTGTTCCGAGGCATCGAAAGTTCGACTACCTTATGCGCTGGGGGTGCTTACTCACACATCACCCGGTGGATCTCAACCTGCCTGGGCCGACTCTCAATGGTTTTTGCCTATACTTCAAAGCAACGTCGCTGCCCTCATCTCAAGTACCGCAGCCGAACCGCCACAGAAGCTCTACATTGGAGTACCAAGAAGCAGTGGCGATACCAGATTTCGCTGCTCTCATATAGATCTGTTGGAACCTCGCTGAATTCATTGGATATAACGATTCCTGTATCAGACAAGGACGGTCTGGATGAGTTTGGTGAGTGTATCAGCATTCATTGCATATGATGCTCTCACTCACACATCACCCGGTGGATCTCAAGCCAAATGAGCGACTCTCAATATTGGTTTTGCCTATACCTCAAAGCAACGTCGTCGTCCTCATGCCTAAGTACAGTAACCGAACAACCGCAGAAGTTCCGCGTTAGGGGAAGAAGCAGTGCCGATGCCAGATTTTACTGCTCGCATATAAGTCTTTGGGAACCTCGCCGAATCTCTTGGATATAACAATCCCCATATCAGAAGAGGACGATCTGGATGAACCCGATGAGTGTATTAGCATTCATTGCGTATACAGCCCCACCGTCTGAACGTGTTTAGCCTCATCTGCTTATCTCGCTGGTAGTACGTAGTACAAAGCCGCGATTCCTCACGGTACGTACATCAATTTCAGAATCCAAGGCCAGAAGCCTCTCCTTACCCGCTCTATTCAATGAAATGTCATCGGAACACCTCTGCGATATCTGTAACCCGACGCGTAGTATTGGGCCGCGCATTTGGCGCCGTATTCCCCGAAGCTTCACACGAAGAAAACCTCATTGTGAGCCTCGTTTTTGGTCTCTTATTTGTAGCATATACATCTGCCCTCGAGGACTGGGAGAATATTCGAGATCGCCATTAAATGTGACGAACTTCGCTTCCACTGGTAGATATTGCAAATGGACGCGTGTTGATGGTATAGAGTGACACATGACCGTGTTTCGATGGTGTCCGTCGACTTTTGAAAGTAAAGATGACCTTTCAAGCTATGACAGCTCGCTTATTCTCATCTTTTCAGTGTAGAAGTGGCGAAATTGTCTGAAGAGGATACTTGAATGATCGGGTCATGCTGGACTGAAATATCCTCCCGATGCTTTTCGTGCATGACAGGTACGCCCCGTCGATTACCGGTCCAACGTTCAGCATGCGAAATTCTTGAAGAGGGATGCTGCAGTGGGGACACAAGCGACATGACCCCTTATCGAGCCGCATACACTGGTCACAGAGTGCTAAAGAAGCACACTGCACTTGGACACGTCGCTGTCAGGAATATGCCCGCCGTTGAATGTCGTGCAATGTCGTGCCGGTAGCCCCATCGGAGGGTCACCTCTAGGCTGTACGCTATCGTACCCCACATGTGCAACGGCATACAATGGAGCATGATGCTATCGGAATACAGTACTATATATTGCATGGTTGCCAATATATTCCCTGTTACGCATATCGTGCGATGAGAGTTGCGATATATATATATACATTGACTCAGCATGCAGATACGAGCTATCTTAATACGTAAGTCAGCCTGATACCATGCCCTTCACTGGTCGCCGAAGCGGTCTTGACTGGCCTGAGCATCGCATGGAAGCAAACAGCGAGCGCGTACCCGCATACGCCGTGAACGAGATAGTCAGCAGATCGGCCGAACGCAGATTCGTGTTCCCTCGTTTGCGCCTGGCAGAAAGCACAGTCAGCTTCTCATGAGAAGGAGCCCGAATTCTTGCTCACATACAAGAGAAGCTGCTGACAAACACGTCGAAATGGGGTACGAGCGGAATGCTACCCCAGGGGGGGGAGGTTTGCTAACATGAGAGCGACGAGACCCGCCTCCGCTAGGCTATGAGTTATGGCAATCAATGGACTCGTGCAAGGGATATCGCACAGCACGGCAGCAAAGAGCCTCGTGTGTAGCAGGAAAGTTTGAAAGAGAGCATTCGGCCACACTGTTACACGGCGTGAATGAGAAAGCGTCTTGAGTTTCGGTGCGCGAAGCTTCAGGCGAAGGAGTGAGCCTCAGCCTCAGCCACGCACATCTCAGCCACCGACGCGTCACGCGAGATCCGATCGAGACTCTTAGCGTCTGCAAGTCACGTGACGCTCGATGCTGGCCACCACCTTCCTAACTTGGCCAGTGGCCACCACTGCCTCTCGCTTGCATACAGCTCAGACTTAAAAGATGCCTATGCAGAAACCGTTCGAGCGCGATCTTAAAACAACAATTGATGCCCTCATCTCCTGTTACAGGCTGGCGTATACCTCATAATGCTTGCACAAGTGCGTGAGCGCCGTCTCGCGAGTCGCGACTCTGGAGTCCGCGGGCTTGCAACCCGCTTGCGCGGATTTACAAACGCTGTTATTGTTTCTCACGCCTTACAGGAAGTGCAAGCTCATAACCCCCGAGGCCTTTCTTCCCGATGGTCCGTTCATGTACGTGAAGTGAAGCATCATGTATCGACATGCAATTCAGGTGAGCTTTGAGTCAAAGTGACTCAAAATAAGGTCCGTTATCTTGTGTGGCGTCATACTGAAGCACGTCCGACGCGACTTAGGACAGGGGGACATATGAATGAGGTTACAATGAAACCTACTCCGACATCCTATCGTATGATCGTCTGTGCTTGCACTTGACCGGGCGCCGGTCGGAGAAGATTGTGTACAAGACTCGTCCCGTACTCTTCAGCGCAAGTGGACGTTCACTACAGGCTCTGCTCAGTCAGGGGAGTTCGACGTGTGAGTTCCGAAGTCGTTCATTATCGAGCGCCTTTCCTGGACTCATGAAAAGAGTACATCTATCTCTGCATGTTTGCCAGTCCGGAACTTCCTTGCCTGAAATGATCAGCATGTGCATCCCGATTACCGTTCACACCAAAAACGACCAGTTCCGTGAACGGGCACATCGTCCCTGGCTGAGATGGAGCTGGTATCAGCGCTTGAGTCGATGTGCTGGACTCGCCCTTCGAACTTTAATCATTAAGCATGCCTGTAAGTGTAGGAACGGCTAGCGGTACACTGCGGACGATCATGGACTCACTATATCTCTTTGCAGGTGCGTGCATTGTTGCCGAACTATCGTACGAAAATGTGACCGAAAACGAGGCTGCGTGTCATTCGAACGATGATCTCTGTCTAGTTTCACGTCGATCACGGTCTGTAAGATCCGTTCACATTCTTCCTCGCGGATCTGAGCCACATGCAGGCATCCCTTAATAAGAGCGAACGTGCCGTCCACAATACACATGGTATCAGTAAGTTCTGAACGTTAATATGCGGTTGACTACGCAGGCGAAGTTGAACGTCACTCTAGCTGCGATGGCAGTCTCTGACGTTCTGCAAGTTGTACTGGCCTTGGGCTTCACAGGTTGTCTGTTGGTGAGAGTGTTGATCTCCGAACGACGAATGAGAGCTGATTTGCCTTCTTAAAGCACGGCACCGAGTGCTATTTAGGCTCAGGCTGACGTGCCAGTGATTCTAACTGTTGGGGAAATTCCGCACTCAAAGACCCTCGAAGCAGGGCATGGCATACGGGGCCCGAAGCCATCCTCTATGCCGCGTGTTTTCAAAGGGCCCGTATATGTGCCGTACTTGACACTCTTCCAATACAAGAATCCATGCGGGAGCCATGGATCCCCGAGCGCTCGGAACAACCCTCTCAAAGAGAAAAACCGTCCTTGGTTGTCAAACCCGGTTTCCAGTTGACAGCAAACGGCAATGCTGAGTCGACGGCATCTCGACTAGACAAGATGACGCGCGTCGTCGAGCTGACCTTTCACGCAGTACGTATTGTATGACACTCGATGACCTGATGTATCATGGACTCCAACCATAACGGACGAGGCCAGCTGATTGTCTGCCCTGTGCCCAATTTTTGGCCCGCACATCTTTCACGAAAGAGTTCACCTTTGGATAGTGCCCATCATGAAAAATCTTACAGAGGCCAGCCGTTGCGTCCTCTGCGCTGCAGAAGTGTTAACGGAGACTGTTGAGTCATCCTACCTCACGATCGTTCGGACGTTTCACATCCATGGTCCTACATATATATCATCACTAATGTCAAACCTACTCACTCTCCCTCCATAGGCCGTACTCGCGCAATCCTCGACAACGCTATGCTGCTTTCCCTACTTTTGTTCCTGTTCCTTCAACGTATATGCCAATTCACCAATGCCGCACCCATCCCAGACCTCGACAGCATAGTCAATGTCTCCCCGTATTGCCACGACTGCAGAACGCCGAAACGCATGGTATACGGCTGTGTCGTGACAATCTTCGCATGCATATGGGGTGCCATCCATCCAGACATGCCCGATCCAAGTGAATTCAGAAGCCGGCAGCTTCTACGTCGCATGGGGTTTGCTCTTTGTGCGCTTATTGCTCCAGAATTGTACGTTTGGATAGCGGCTCGTCAGTGGGTGGCTACGCGTCAGTTATGGAAGAAATACGGAGGAGAATGTGGGTCTTTCTATGCATCTATTGGCATCGGGAACTAATACTTGCACTAGGGCCGGATTGGACGCACACCCATGGATTCTTCTTGCTCATGGGGTGCTTCGCTGTCCGTAAAGAGGGGCAGCCGCATCAGCTATTTCCTAAGGAGTTCTCCGAGAAGCTGGAGAAGAATGAAATCGTATTTCGTGACACAACCAAAGAAGAAATACATGACAGGAGTAAGGCAAACTTCTTGTCCAAGGCTGTGATCATGCTTCAGATGGGCTGGTTCATGTTACAAATCATTGCTCGACAGCCCGAAGGTCTAGTGACATCCCCGCTGGAGTTTGTCACCCTCGCCTTCACGTTGATGACCCTCACGATGTATTTTTTCTGGTTCCACAAGCCGCTGGACGTCACTCGTCCTGTGATTCTTCGTTGTCAGCCACCGCAAGGGCATACGAAGGTTTCCTCCGACGATGAAGGGAATGTAACTGAAAAGGGACCGGTCGTCGGACCATCTAGTCCTGTCAGTAAGGATCTTACCAATAAAAAGGAACGCGTTCGAGATTCTGCGGTAGTAGAAATGGTGAGTCGAGCCTCTTCATGATCTTCGGTCTCAGTTAAGACATTTGAGCTCATCGTCGGGGCGATTGAACTATATCATAGGATGAAAAAGCGAAGCCTGCGACGCGCTCGATAGGGCCTGCACATGTTCGTTCCCTCGTCGATGAGGGTGAAATTGATCGTGTCGGACACCAGGACCGCACCATGGATGACATGGGCCCCTCGACAACAGTCCCATCTGGGGATCCTCGCAGTCTCGTTATCAAACGCGGAGGTAGCTCGATAATCCGCGTTAATAGTAGGAGAAATCGAGGTACGAAGTTGCTATTCTGCACGCGTTACATCGTACAATCCTGACGCTATCGTATGTTCAACAGGTTCATTCCTGATCCATGCACTCCGTGAAAGGATAGATACGATCACACAGGACCTCGAACAGCTGTTCGAGGAATTAAAGACGGTGACCCGCCGCTCTGTCACTCGGGTTCTTGAGGCGAAGAATGTCCCTTATCCTCTCCGCATCTTCGTTCTACCATTTTTCACCCCAATCAACGTCACGATCAATATAGCGTACCACCTAACAGATACCTGGTGGCACACAGATCGGGTTGTCCCAAAGTCGAGAAAAACGTACGGCAGGAGAACTTAACCCTCGCCATGGCTGTTGTCAGTGCTACTGTCTTCGGGCTCGTTGATTACAGGGTGTGGTCTCACGATTTCCAGAACAAGGGCGAGAAGATTGTCCGGAAGGCGGCATCGCTGGCAATCACGTGCATTCCAACTCTCTCGTTCACGGCGTGGCTTCTGTGCAAAAAGTGGAAGCACGAGCATATCAAGACCATACTATGCGAATCTCTGCTTGTGCCATTATATGTAGCGGCTTGAATTATGCTGTTGGTTATCGCATGCATATCTATGCGCCGTCTTCCTGCGTCCGCTTACAAGATTGTCTCTTGGAGCGAGTTCATACCGCATTTCTGAGAGTCGATGATAGCATGCTGTACGAGCAGCCTCGGTGTTTGGACAGCTCTCATCGTCAATGGACTGTATATGTATATTCGGGCTGGATCCGACGTATCATATACCAACTGTACTTATTCACGACTTGGATGCTCTTTAGCTACGGAGCGTCGCGCTCTGCCGCCGTCTATGGGGCCGGGGCACATATTTTGTCGAGTAGCGAGGTTCTTCAATTGCAGACATTCATCAGTGCCACTACAGCATACATTTGACATACTCTCCTTTGTAGCTGCCATCGTGTCACCTGCTTATCCGAAAATACCCTTTTTCAGCCTCACAACCACAAAACCCTCTAACGGTTCATGCTTCTTGGTTGTCTGCGTCCTCAACCTCAAAGGCACAGCAGAACGTATCACGGTCAAGAAGTATGAGGCCCCGTCCATCCGGAGCCCAGCGGATAGAATGTGTCGAGAACCTTTCTGCAACAAACAGCACATTAGCAACGGACTCTCGAGACTCTCGACACAAACGAGCACGGGCGAGACAAACGTGTGAAGCACGTACCCGCAGGCACACCGACGCACTCGGCAACCGCCTCTCCCCCGTCGGCGTCTCCGTCCCGCCGTCCCTCGCTCACCCACTCGTCACTCCACAGATAGACCGCGCCGCCGCCCGTGCACATCGCCAAGCTTCCCTTCCGCACAGGATTCCATTGCGCACAGCCCACCGCTGCCGCATGCACCAGCACAGTGTGCAGCGTGGGGCGCAAATTGGCACCTTCGCGCGACGCAGCCGATGTCAATGACTTGATCCCGGGAAACTTGTAAAGCCAGGTTGTGTTCGGCGCGCCGGCGTAGCGCACCATTAGGTATGACCCATCTGCGTTCCATGCGAGGTAGTCGCCTGGATTTGCCTTTGCGGTGCCGAGCTCTGGAGGGGGCTTTGACCGGTCGCGAGGAGAAAGGGTTAGCGAATGTGGCGCTTGGATGCGCTCGTCTACACGGAGAGGAGATGAGCATCCCGGCCGAGTGTACGGCATCAAAAGGTTACTTACATGAGAGGAAGCCACGGCCGTGCGTTGCCTCTAGCCATTTGTCAGGTTCATGCCAGATTGTCTGCGAAGATGACATGCACATGTCAGATTTTCAGAGCGATCGCGAACACATCGGAGTACTCACCACACCCGAGGGCACCTTGCTCTGCAACTCGAACACTGCGATGGGACCCCATGTTAGGTTCTCCAGCACATGCATCTGTCACAGATTACTTTGATTGTGGCATCGCTCGTCTGGTGGGCCGCTACGGAAGCCGCACCACTTACCTTGTCATCCCACCCGAGTACTGCAAGGAATAATCCGGCCGGATGCCACGCAGTCGCACGCACACCGAACCCCGGGTCGCGTTCAGGGGCGAACGTCCCCTGCAAGTTCCCAGCAAGGCTCAAGACGTGGACTTTGAACTGTTCCACCAGGTAAGCGAGCCACAATAAACGAGAAGACGAGAGAAAAGACCTGCCTCCAGAGGCCCTTCGCACACAGCTATGTAGTTCCCCGTGGGAGATAGCGACAGAATGGACAGCGAAGACGTGGGGATGGGGAAATGCTGCGTGCCTGGTGGTCAGCTCGTACGTGTGCATCCAGCACCGGATACACGAGACGTACCCTGACGAGACGATACGCTGCCTCGGCATCGTATATACCGACAGTATCCCGCGACTTGTGCCGTTCCGCAAGGACGAGGTAGTGTCCGTCAGAACGGAACGCATACCCTACTCAGGATCGTCAACGACCGAGGCCAGAGCTGTGACAAAGCAGCTTACCGCGTTCGATCTGCGCAGGAAACTGGATGTAAGTTGCAGAACCGGTCACGAGCGACCATAGAGTGAGCCTTAGCTACAATTGCCGTACACATTCAGCGATTGTGTCAGTCAGAGTTGAATTGTGGGACATACCCCCCACTCGCTCCAGCAAACAATCGTACGCCCATCCGGGGCCCATTCTGCCTTAACAAGCCCCTCGGCACCAGTTTCGATGCGCGCTCTCCAGTCCTCGTCGCGCATCTTGAATACCTCGACAACACCTCGCTTCGAGCATGCGCCAAAGATGTATTCCGAATCACTTGACCACCCCGCGTGCGTGATGCTTGACTCAATCGAGCTCGCAAGTGATTCCGCTGCTCCTCTGCTGGCAGCCAGTCTGTTCCTGGTGCTGGCCGCCACTTTGTTGCTGGGTGGCTTGCTTGAAGTGGACTGCATGAGCTGAGACATTGTGGCGGAAGGTGCATCTTCGAGAGCCCACGAGCGTGTAATCTGGAACGAGTCGGAGCGGCGAACGATGAGGTGGTCTTGGATCGCAGTCAGTAAGAAGTGCGCGCCGGGAGAGAAAACTACAAGTGATGTGGATTGTTTATAGATCTCGGTGAAATCCATTCGCCAATGGGTATGTGAGCTCCGCTCGCGCAAAGAAGCTCGAGAACGAGGTAGACGTTATATATAACCAGAGATACTGCACAGCACTATGCACAAAACAGGTTGCCTTGAGATGGAGCAAGACGTTGGTGCATTGGCAGGTACGAAACGCGAGGCAGCCGGTGACCTTGAGCTGCAATGCGCTGCCGGTATTCCGAGCTGCGAAGATGCAAGATGCAGTGGCGACACAGAGAGAAAGATACGAGGAGAAACCGGTCAAATACGAGTTCTCGCCAGCACGGAAGTCTCCGACTCAGTACGACGCGTCTGTGGCGCGTGAATGCGCCATAAGTAACTGTTATAAGGATTAAATATCAAATGACTAAGTGAAGTGAAATTGTTAAGCATCACTCTAGCAACGACACCACATTGTCACCTTGCCTGAATGATCCTGCCGCCTCAATTATCCTCGCAGAACACTGCCATTGCAAAGTCAACTTGACCGACAATGTCACGTCAGAAAGATGGTGAAATACCTTCGCTCGAAGAATTGAGTACGATACAGTCTTCCAAGCTCGAGCAAGCTGACGCTCGCCAACGGTGTGTCTCTGCCCACCCTGACTGTATCATTATCCATACTTACCACGATCATATTGCGTGTAGTACACATCAGGTCAGAGCCTTTGCTTCAAATCTCGCTCAACAAAATGATGTAATGTCATATAGCTCAAGCATCTTAAGGGGTTGATCAAGGCAGCCGATACGGCTGCGACTCAAGCTGAGCGGCGGGACCGGAATGCCCGCATCGCGATCAACCGTCTTCCCGCCGAGGTGCTCGAGGAGATATTTGTGATGAGCTGCACCGTCAAGCTAGCTGGATATAAATTCTGGCGCTATCAATACAACGACATAATCACCGTCTGGAACCCCATTTGGATTCATACGGGCGGAGCAGTGCGTCTCATGCGTGTCTGCCATCATTGGAATGAGATCGCCTTGGGAACCCGGGAGCTCTGGAATTCTGTTGAAACATATTGCGGTGATAGAGATCACGTCTCGCTGGCGAGGTCCATTCGAGGCCCGCTCAAGGTGCTGGCTTGCGGTGAGCCCCAATATGCTGTTGCGCACGCTCTCCAAAATGCGCAGCATTCATCCCGAATCCAAGAGTTGTACTGGACGCGCCCTACATATTGCAAGAGCAGAAACTATCTCGGGATGCCCGCGCCGTCACTGAGGTCTCTCGCGTTGCAAGGTGACTGGAGTCGTACGCAGGATGGATCATTCAATCTCTTCGACAACCACACCCCGTGTCTGGAACGCCTGTCACTATCAGCTGTGAATTGGCTGCCCAGCAATGCATTCGCCAAACTGACATTCTTGGCTCTCAACAAATGCAATGCACCTAAAGCTCCCATCAAATTACGCTGCTTGCTTGCTGGAACACCGAATCTGGTCGATCTCATCCTACGAAATGTATCTGACAACAGCTACCGGCATATTCGAGTGGAAATTGAGGCCGCGGGCATGAAGCCTGTGTCGCTCACTCGGTTGCGCCGTTTACTGATCGCGAATATGTGGGCCGACGATATCGATTATGTCTTTTGGGACGCTCGGCTAAACGGAGACGTGTCCGTCTCGATCAAACGTATGAAAAGGCATGGTGACGGGAATCAAGTTTTGGACTTGTTATCCACCTGGTCATTGAATGTCCTGAAGCAACCCAAAGAGCTGGATTTCCAGTCGGACATCGTCATCGTCGCTGGAGCCTCTTCCAGTCTCCGTTTTCAAGTCGAGGAAAGCATGTCCCTCGAGGATTGGACCGGACTTAACTGGCCATGGATCCTCACCCTTTCCAGCATCTCTCAGCTGTACGTGTTTGAGCTGTTTGGGTGTGATCCGTGCAGGGGGTCCGATCTCGAACATATGCGTGCCTTTCTTAGGCAGATGACCGCGCTTGAAACACTGTCCGTCGACATCGAGGTCCTCACGAAGATCGTCGATGCACTCACACTCTTCCGAGACCCGATCGACCCGCCTCTCTGTCCCGCACTGACGACGCTCCGTATCGCCATCCGTCGAGATAGTGACTGTAACATCATCCTGGATTTGGTCCTCCCGCACCGTGCGCAGCTTGGCATCAGACACCTTTATATCGGGCTGGTCGATCCTCCGAGTGGATGCTGGAGACCTCTTCAAGCTGTGAAGGACCAACTGCATGCCAATTTCGAGTCGGTGAAATTTGACTCCCTGTGGTGTGATAAGGCGTACAGCATCAATTTGCCGCTGGTTTGCGATGAGGAGGCGCATGCTTTGTGGCCGCCCTGGCTTTAGATGTTAGCCTTGTAGACGAGAGGTGACATGGATTTGCGCAGTGAGCCTGACCAAACATGCGCTCACGTCCGAAGGGTTCTCGTCTCGGTCGCTCATCGACGCTCATCGCTCGTCACCAGTTATCCCGGGGGGCATCGTTAGAGGGGAAAATATGTATATAATGCTACAGCAGATGTCAATCTTTGTCTATGCGAATGGCGAGAGGCGCTATGGTCGGTGCGCTGATACCGATTGATGTCTGTAGAGTCAGAGGCAGTAATTGTGTTCTTTATGGCAGATCAGGAACGCGCAACAACGGACAGCATCTCCCTGAAACCCGCATCTCCAGCGTTGCGATACACGATAATGCCAGAGCCGCACTGAGGCATTAATGTGCAGATGCGTGCGGAGCCAACAACGAATTCATCTGCTCGATCTTGACATAACGCATCTGAGGATATCACGCGTTTCTCCACAGGCCATTTTCGAGCAATCGTATCCCCCTGCAGGAGATCTTAGTACCTGTATGTCCAATGGCAGGCAAAACGCCGACTTCACTATGGCACATCTCGTGCGTCGCTCGCTCATGCTCTCCCCGCTGTCGGGCACTGAGGAGGTCATCTTGGAGAATGCCGTCCCGCAGGCCGAGCTCAGCGTGGAAGATCATCCAATAAACAGCCGCAAGATCACGCTAATCTCCCGCCTGCCGGCGTTCGTGAAGTGGATGCGAAGTCGAGCTGCATTTCGCCGTGCAGAGTACTTGACTGCACCTCTCGCGAGGAATGTAGATGCGCTGTTCCTACATGAGCTGCCTGCTACAAGTCGCTTGTTGGCGTTAGTCTTCTCAAACACAACGTCCAAGCGGTGGTCCTGCTGCTTGAAGCACATCCCGAACCAGCGCCAACCTGCCTCCAATTCAACCCACATATTGTACTGGACTCACGTCTAATCCTGTTAGCGGCTGACATGCCACTTATGCACATGAATGCTGAGGCGACTGGCCACGACACGTCGACGGAAGCGGAGACGAGACGAGGATGGAAGTCCGATACTGGTGCTAGCTGCTGAAGGCGAGCCACGCTCCACCGTCGGACTGGTGTTCTGCGCCGATGCTAGCTTTTGTGAGTCACTCGCAGACTATTCGAGCTTTATCGCTGGTGGTTGAGGTGCTAACTGGTCTCTTCTGACGATGATGGCGGAAGCCGAGGTCTGCGTCCGATGGCATCTTGATATTCAAACTGGAGGTTGTCTTGGCTTCACCTGCTCGAATGCATATGTGGAGCACGCATAAGTGGCAGATGAACTGTTACCCATTCTGAGTTTTGCACTCATTTTCGTTCTGTGTATTCGTCAATCATGGATCTTCTATGAGTGTACTTCGGCAGATCCAACTTGTGTAGACCATACTCACTTGACACTACACTATCAGCTCCCGCTGAAATTTAACAACTACTTTTGAGTGCGTATCTCTCGCTATACCATTCTCTTCTATACGTTTCGCATAGTCGTTGCATCGTCGACGGGGCGGCTTTCTAGTATGAACCACATACTGCAGCGGCACGTGGAGCTTATCTCAAAGGAAGACAAAGGAATATCAGTTTTGAGTGAGGCTAGCGGGTTCGCATGTTGCACGACGACTGAGGGAAGTTGGCAAGGCTCATCATCTCGCCATACGCTTCAGCAGCGCGTTATTTTTAGACGTTACTAAAACCGCACGTGCCACCGTCACATCGCGTCCGTGACTGAGTCGACGCTGGACGCGCACGATCGTCACGTCCGTACGCGGTCCGCTTCTCGCCCCGCTGCCTAGCTTCAGCCGCTCTGCGCTCTGTCGTAGGCAGCCTATCCCGCTGACAGCCGTTGTGTCTGTTGTAAGCAATTTTCTTCACAATTATTGATCAGACAGATTTTGCTCACGATGTCATGACAGACACTGTCCACGGGGCTGCCATTCTCCCACGCGGCAATGGTAACTACACAGCGATGACACATAATTACATATATAAGTAAGAGCTGGTGTAATCATGCCGGCTGAGTATGTGATACACGGTAAGTCCCACAGTGAAGCATGGTATGACATAGTACCTATCAGCTAGACTATAAGTGCTCGACAGCAAATATTCAAAGTGAGATAGCAAATAACCGAACTGACGAAACAAGGGACCCCTCAAGTCGCATGCGCACTCCCACACAGACATCTGGTACCAGGGGGAGCCAGTACAGCCTGCCATCTGCCATTCAGAGTGCCATCGGGGGCGAAGTACGAGCTTTTGCTGTCATCAGAACGACAGGTCAGTCACTCCGAAGCGCACCCCTAATCCACAAACGCTGAGACGTACTTCATCTGTAGATGGCTGAAACAAGCCAGCACCGGCGCAGAAAACACGCCCGACGGCGCCATATGCTTCGTCTGAAGCGGCCAACATAGCGGCTTCTTCGCCCTTTCTCCAGTAGTCGTGTGGCAAGTGTTCTCCCTCGGAGTCCCCGAACTCGCTGGCACAGAGTTCGCCGCTGGTAATACTGTCAGACGCGAGTCCAGTGCGGTCGGCGGGCTAGGGTGGACGAGCAGCACAGTGGCTTGCCACTGGTCCGGGATGAACGTCCAACGCGACGACGGCGACTTGCACTCGGCCTCCGTCGGGTTCCAGAAGATCAGTGCCCACAAGCGACCTGAGTCACGCATGCCACCTGTCAGCAACGCACTCATACTTCCCGCCGACGCCCTGCATGAGCAAAGAGACGCACCGACTTACCCCGCGCAATGAACTGTAGCTCTATCCTCCGTACTACCCACATCCGCTTCGCGAACATCGGCACGCGGAAGCACACCACGAACCTGTGTTCGTCCGCTAGGTCGTCCTCCACGTCGAGCTGATCGGGTGGAGCAGCACTCCCCAAGAGGATCTCTTCCGTACCCGAGAGCGGGGAGAGCACAGGCGAGCCGCGCACATATTCAAAATGCACCTGGTCCGCCGTCTGCAAGCACGCGAGGCCGAACTCGGCACGTATTTGATCTGTGAGCGGGGCTGCTAGCTCGAGGAGCCTCACAACAAGGTCACACTCCGCACTCTTCTCGCTGTTGGACGACCCTTGGACTTCTTCAGTGCGCGATTGTTTAAGGACGGCCCAATAGATAAATGTGTGATCTCCCAGAATGCGTTCTTGCAGGATCGAGCGAAATGAGCCAGCGTTCATTCTGCAGGCATCCGCGCAATGATCAAGCACGCTCCAAGCATTATCGTCGATTTCACGCCGTTTGGCTAAATCCTTCAGGATATCTATCACGGCCATCTTCAGCTCCGCATTTTGCAAGGAGGAACGGCGCGGAAAGAAGCTGAATATGCTCGTGCGCCTGTTCGATGGAGGATACACAAATTTTCGTAGCGAAGCAGGAATAGTCTTATGTGGTGTGCACTTCTCCTCGTCGAGAGAGCCTCGATCCGAGAGTGTGTCGTACGCGGGAGGTTTGTCTTTCAATGGCTCCGATGTGGCGTGTTCAGCCATCGGTATATCAGTCAGTGATATCTCTGTTTAAGGTGTCAATCGTCTACAATCTTTCCTGTGCAGTCATGGACTCCGTACCTAACGTGAATGCAGACTCGGACTCGCCGCCAAGAGAGATCAGTACCTGAGCGGCTGCTGAATTCGCTCGATGTGGCTGCAAGCTCGACCTCTTGTACACGGCCGCAGACTAACTCTGTGGCTTGCCTCGATAGCAAATCGATGCGGGAGTAAATACGATCTTGAGTTTCAGGTCATCTTGAGGCTGTATGATGATGGGCGGCCCGGGGCGCTCGGCACCAGTCTGAGTGTGGCGCGCCCAGTCCGTATATCAGACCTGGCCAATCATTGAGTATGCCTAGATGTCAAAAATTAAAACAGTTCCAAGTGTGAATCAAATGTCAGAAGGAGTCTGTCCTACATCTAAAACTGAGACGAATCACTGTCTCTGAATATTAATGAATACCCACGGGAAAGGTGATAACTGCAGTGTCTTCACACGCCACAGACGCGCCATACCTTCAAGACACTGCCATGGTTTTGGACGTCTTAACTGCTCCACTTTGCGGCTTTCCTAGCAGGAAAAAAGAACCACTGACCTTGAGCAAAGTGGAGGGGTACATTGTAGCATCGCCACGGCGGGGCACTCTTGTAAGTTCGTGGCCACAATGCCACATGGCACATGTTGATGGCCACGATAGCACCACGTGGAGCTGAGCATCGTGACCTCAGTATCTAATCACGTGACAAGTACAGCGCGTCGCAGCGCATCTGGGCCGATTTCCCCGGCAAGGGCTTTCGATTGTTTTACTTTGCCTCTAACGATCAAAAACCCGCGCTTGGGCTTCAATTCTACGCCGTTTCCCAGCTCTCCTTGTGAGAAAAACTCTGTTATGGCCTGCTGCTCACAGGCGAGTGACGGGAGCTTGCCGTCCTGGTGACAATTCTGGCTTTGAAATCTGCGGACAACTCAGAGACCACGATCGCTGCAGAATGGTTCAAAGGTCTAAAGCGCGAATCTCTGTGGGGATGTGTCGGCAGCTTGATGCCACATGCAATACAATATGGTGGCCCTTCCACGGCGCGGTAGGAACTCCACAGTGAGTTCATTATGTTTAATCTTGAGCTACTCATTGATATCTACGCAAGATGATCCCGGCTTGGCGAGCTTAGAGACGGGCTCATGTGATAACGGCTTGCGTGTGACCAACGATGATGATGCAGTGTCATGGTCTGGTCTGTGGTATTTCAGTACATGTCAAGCTTTCGGGGCGATTGGACGACTGAGAAATATATAACTTCTCTTTCAAACGACCGATGTGCGCGAGTCAGATACCATTTCCAAGATCATCCAGCCAAGTCTGGTCATGCATGCAAGCGGAAGACATTGCAAAAAGAATGTTCGCGTCCATCGCTCTCTCAAGAGCAAACGGCATCAGCATTGCATCCTCGGTACACGTAACGCGAAACACGAAGACCGCAATGAGACAGAAAGCTCCCAATCCACGTGCAGTTGATTGTTGCAGAATGTTCGAGCACCAGGCAAACCGGAACAGAAGACGTAGCCAATGTCGCATCATCGTCTAGCATGTTATGACATAGGGATTGGGCAATTCATGGGGCGAAACCGCATGCCCTATGCGAACAGCAGCAACAATGTTGTGGGAATGTAGGAAATAAGAAGCTCGACATCAAGGATCAAGCACGAAGATATCAATATGGAATCCACGATGCCATACTAGACTGACAATGAGCGATGTCTACTTGTCACATAAGAAGAAAAACCGCGTAAACCAGGTTACAGCAAAGTTTGCCCGCCGACGCTCACCTCGAAGGCAGCGCAGCCGAGGAAAGCCCTGCAGCCTGACAAAGCCCAGCATGGCACTCACCCGCTCGTTTCTAACCGCAATTTACATCTAAAACGTCTGGCATCAAGCCCTTGGCCGGCTCGTGACGATATGTCTGATAAAGCGGCCGTCTGATCGAAACCACAATGCACTGCAGTAAACGAGCATTGATCAGCCGTCCATCGGCGCGAGAAGACAAAATACACAGTTATCGCGGAGATTCCGGATTTTTTCAGCGACGATGATGCGAGCGAGATAATCTACACCTTCTATGAGTCGGTTACAAGGCGAGGAGCACGTATAAGTGACGACGAACCATTAAACTTGGAATGACGTGTCAGACGAAACGATCTCAATCCCTTCCCCCCACATGTATCCATCAAGCTTCCAATCGAGGTTGACAATGACAAGCATTACCCAGAAGTCCCACGAGATATCATTTCAGCCGGAGACATTAGTGTAGACGGCCATCGCTCAGGAGAGGCTCGGCAAAACAAGTGGAGAAGTCAGTAAGGCAGCTACGCACGATTTGAACAAACGGGTGGCTCCGCATCGATAAGAACTAGTCCCCTTCCTGGAAGCTTGAATGCTGGCAAGGCAATCATGAAATAGGACGCTACAGTGGATACAATTAGTCCATCAGGCAGGCGTTGACTCAAGGTTGCCATCGGGAAAGGCGGAGCTCGTAAAGGATGTGGCTGCCGAGGCTGTGCACCAGTCGCGCGATCGGCGATGCGAGGCATTCGGCTTGTATCTTCGAGTAGTGTAGGACGGGTGCAGGACGGGTCCGTAGGTCGTAGATCGTCCAGGGCTGCTCTTCCCGTAGGCGAGACAAGAGCCCACGGGAAAAATGCATGGAACAGGGGGATTTAACCCGTTTGCATACGGTAAGTCGGCGTTGGAGCGGCGCACAACTAGACGACGCGACAACCTTATTATGTTCCCGCGGCACCTCCGCATCCCCTCGCAACTTGAAATACTCCCGCGAACAATGTCGCGCGGCTGTCCCCACTCACTCGCTGCCTCTTGCTGTGGCCTCCAACTTTCTGGCAGTAGACACACACTTCGAGACGATCGTGGACTACAAGAAGGCAAGTCATCAGCAAATCTGACCGATATGGCATCGCTGGGGGGTCAAATGCTCTTTGGTGAGCTTTATGTTGGCGCCCCGACGGCGCAACTGACGAACCACATGGACGGCAAAGTACTGTTTCAGGGTACATAGATTTTAGGCAAACTTTCGACATCCCAAGAGGTGGCACGGTCGGTCCTATCTGCGTCGCCGCCTCGTTGTGGGCAGCTCATCGATCCACAGAAGCACATCAACTTTCTCAGCCCCTTAACCAATGATACCTATCGGGGGCCTCCCAGAGTCATGACTGTAAGTCCTGAACCATTGTATCTGAGCTAATGCTCTGCTTTCCAGAGCGGGCTTTGCCTCGTAACGACCCCACAGCGGCGACGGTCGATGAGCGCCAACAGTCACGGTAACATCGTGACAATATGTCACTGCATAGGGAGGTTTGTGGCCAATTCGTCAATCGATGATGAATGGGGGCAATTTATCATCAATAGGAAACAACGCATTGTCTTCGTAGACGTAGACAGCAGATAGCAGATGAAGAATATCCAAGAAATCCGCGTGATATAGGCAGAAGAGCTTCCCAACGCAAGCCAACCGGCGTCAAGATTCAAGATTACTATCGACTGAGGAAGATCACGGCTGACCAGGTCCTCGTTATATGGGTGTCGAACATACACCAGTCACGACGCATCCTGGTTGGCATCCAATGCTTGCTCGTGGACAGCGACAGCATACCGTTCGGATATATGCCAGTTTCCCATCCAAATGCGCGACGCAAAGCATGGTCGCATCGCATGTCCTTCCATATTACATCCACCCAACGCAGAACCGTTTATGAAAGGAGAGGAAGATTGTATATGTCGAGCAGGACGTACCTCTCGTTCCGTCGCTGGCTGTCATTCGCGACTCCCGCAAAGCCGAAGCGTGGCCTATGGGGCTAGAAAACGCGTCCGGTCCTTTTCCCATACAGTATCATCATGGCGGAATGAGCAGCGTGGGCCGCTGCGCGGTGCGCGGTGATCGCAGCGATTTGCGTCGCCTCCATCCGCGTCGACAGAGCCTCAGAGTTCATGATAATATCATGAGGAGCTGTCGGTCGTCTTCATGTTCAGAATATCGACAAGCGTCCCAGAAGACCATGAGCAGGCTTAGAACACATTTCGACCATGATGTTCAGCTAGAGATATTGACGAGCTCGACGAAGATAGGGACGGTGGAGGAATTAGAGACAGGTCCAATCTTCCTTCAGCGGTGCCACCATGAGACGTAGAACAACGAGCAGGTCGCCGGGACGGAAGAAGTGGTTCGTGGGTGATGGGGGCTGCACAAATGGCCGCGGACGACTCACCGCGCCACCGCTCGCTTGCCGCGTCCACGCCTGCCCACGCGAACGCACCTTGCACCTTGCTCGAAACAACGTCTCCCATTGCTGCGATGAACCTCTACCTAGTCACGCCCACAACTCTGGTATTCTACGTCCCACAAACACCTTGTCCAATTCCTGTAATGTACCGTCTCACTGCCACCCACCGTCGCTTCCGGTTTCCCCATGCCACCTCTCGATAGCATGAAGACGCACGTCGCAGACTCTGTGATGCTACGCTCGGTCCTCACCATCTTCGCTGGAAGTTCTCGCCATCTTTGTCGATCCATATCTATAATTGCACGGCGATCCGTGAATCCTCATGATTCTCTTGATCATGCCATGCAAAATACGCTCGTCCTCCCGTGCTCGAAGTGGCAACACCTACCTCGCGACATCAAACGCCGACAGAATCTGCAACCGGTACTCTCAGCCTTCATCATCTTAACGTGAGGTCCTTGCCATTCCCCGCCGGCCGCCCCCCTTAACGGGACTGCAAGTCGTGCACTCTCATGAACCTGTCGATCGCGTCCTACGGAGGTTGCTCTTGCCGACCTAGGTCTTTGCTATCCGTCTGGATGACCTGAAGGCGACTTTCTCAGTGCGAACCATTCGCATGCGCCCCTTTCTCCGAACGTCTTTCTATGTGAAGGTTCTCGATATGTCCGCCCGTAGTCGGCATGCCTGCACGGAGTCAACCATTCCGCAGGCTGTGCTGTGGTGGAGGAATAACAAATAGCGGAGAAGCACTCGTGGCCACGGTGGTGAGTTCATGTTATTTACTGTCTGGATGGATGTCGGACACATCAACGGGACTACGAGCTCATTTTGCTTCGGTACTCTTTCAGAGATGTTCTGCGGACGTAGCAAACCAGTATAGGGTTCCTTTGAGCTTACTGGCCGCAGACACGTTCCTTTGAGTTTACTGGCCACAGACACGTTCCTTTGAGTATTCTCGACTCACACGCATTCTATATTCGGGACGCTCCTCGACATCCTCGCTATCGTGATGCACGGAAAGTATTATGTGAACACTCTCGCCGCTCTCTGTATCTGCGTAAACCCATCCGGCCTGTGCTTCTCATATGACCCAGAATTGCTCTTTCTTACTTATAACACGACTTTGCTGTGTGCAGTCGCCGCCGTGCACGGGCGACGTTGATCGGCCATCGTCGGCTCTGCTTTCCCCGCTTTCATTGGTGGAGATCGGGACAACACAATCAACTTGGGGAGATAAACTTCTCTTTCCTACGATTGTCGTACTCTGCGGGCGGGATTCTATGGATGTGTTTGATGCAACTGCGGCGTCGTCCGTGGCGTGGACGACTCCTCAGTCGCTTGAGAAAAAGCACCGTGGCGCCAGTACCAAGTCGCTGTTACTATACATCGTTTTGCTACTCCTCAGATCGACGGACGATTTCTAAGCAGCGACGACGCTCATCTTCGGGATCGCCAATCCTACCATACCAGGGTCCGGCTCCCGGCAACCCCTTCGGGACACGTTGAGATGGGTGGTGCATCAGTATGCAAAGCCGCGAGTCCTCATGATTACACACACATATATATGTAGTCCTCGCTGGTGCTGGTGCAGGATGGCTCTCAGCTTCTCGACTTCCCGACTGCCCACGCCTGGTCATGCAAATCCGGTGGAAACTTCGTACGTACAGAGCGGCTGTGATCGTCCGATCTCGTATATCCAGCTCAACGCCCACTCAGATCCCTTCCGTTGACGCCTCCCAAAGGCTCAAGCGCTCAAGACTGAAGACCCAACAAGAACATGAATCCATTCAAGGTGCGTATCCCCACCTCTATCCAAGTCATTTATCCTGCAGAACTCAACAGCCGTAACCTGCTCACTAGACCATCGACCTCGCTCAAGGATCACAAACCAGCTCCCACCTCTCAAGAATAAAAATAAAATAAAAACTACGCAAATGTATCCCACCCACATCGTACGTATCTTCTCATCCCCCTCGCTCACGACCCGTCCTGAATCCTGACCATTTCTCAATTCCTACTAGTCAAGGACCGCACGAGGGTAAGTCCCCACGACGTAAATCTCAAAGCGAATGACTGATTGACCTTGCGCATATCATAATAGGACACGGCGAGGATCGGGATCAGAGGAAGAGTCTTGGTAGTGGGCATGTATGGAAGAATGAGAATATAAAGCGTTCACAAAAATTTTTCAGACATGCGATGTGACAGTCAGGCGATCGATTGATCGAAAGCGCATGCACAAAGCACAAAACTCGAAGCTTAGCACAAGCTACGAGTGAAATGATTGACATCTCGCACGACCTGTGCGCGAGGGTCATCTAACCGATATGCCCGTCTCGCCTTGGATGTCTTATATTCCAGCGCTCTGGGCAATTAAACCCAGTAACAGGATGTATCAAAACTGTGTCTGCGCCACCATTTCAGGCGAGTCGGCCTACAAAGCCCACACAGCATCGTGCTATCAGCAAGCGCGGAGCATACGGTGCCACACAGTTTTAACTCGACGAGTCGGTCGGGGAAGCGCGGTTTAGGGTCAGGATACACCGCGCGCGAAACGCGCCTTGCTCGGACTCCGACGGTTTGAGGCGGCCAAGCGTTGTTTGAGCGACGGTCGGCTTGTGCGCACCACTGCGAGCCTATTCAGTGCATGGTGGCCGCTATGTTTGAAAATCGCGACGCAGGAATTGATTATACGGCGATCATTGATCAGCGCTTGATCGATGAGCAACCGAGACGAGGGTCCTGACATGAGCGAATGTACATTGGGTCTCACTGCGCCAATCTGATGGCATGTCATCTCTCGTCTACATTATATCTAAAGCCACGGCCGCCACAGAGCATGCGCCTTCCGATAAAGCTGACCGTGTAATCTGGGTCTCTCAACCGGTGTGTCCTGAATTGTAGAGTTTCATTGGAGGGCGCCACCTCTTCTGTCGTCACTCGTGCTGGGACTCGACAACTCCCGTCTACCATGACATTGCCACATACCGCTTATGCTACGACTGAATTGACAATACTTAGCTGTTTCCAAGGATTGCATTCATACTCAATACCGAGGATAGAAAAAAAGTTCGTCACTATCAGCACATAACATGGTTTTGAGCAGGCTCGGAAAGTGGCCACCGCATCGCTCGGCTGGCGCACTCTTTTTGATGACACAACCTCCCAGGTTATATAAGCGATGCTCATGGGCAGTCAAATGATATCCTGTTATTTGGAACCTGGAAGTCGCAATCATAGCCCGCACTCAGATTTCAGACTCTGCAGGCGGCTTTCTCCCGCTGATCTTTGCGATGGTCTGAGTGTCATGCATTCATGCATCATGTTTGGACAAAAAACGCCACTGTCACTGTGGCAAACGTTACAAACACATCACAAAACCATCACGCGCGCGGATTTGCCGTTCCCCTAGCAGCTTCCGCCAACATAGGCTTCGGACAATACAAATTCCACGCGGACAAAGCAAGTCATGGAGACACCTGGAGAAGTGTGCAAGTGGCTGGTATATTCGCTGTTATGCGTCGCGGCCGATGCCTTTGACACGATCTTGTCCGTCGTTGCCTCAAACGGCACGCCCAAACCGAGTCTACTCGTGAGTGAACTCCATTAGCATGCGTGAGTTCTACCTTTGTTAATGCAAGAGTGTCATCGTAGCCTTCGGACGTAGATGAGCTAGGTGACAACCAGATTCTCGAGCTCAGGCAAAAGGCACCGGACCTACCCGCAAGTAATGGTATCTTCTGGATCACGCCACACACAAAGGGAAAGGCATCGCAGGACTTCGAGGAAGATGCTGCTGATGCATCGGAAGCAAACACCCTCAACCTCGTGTTCGTAAAGACGAGTATCCCCGTTCCACGAATTCGTCGTGTCGTAAAGCGGAAGTGGGATCACCTCATTGTCATGGATTATGTCAGGGGTCCAACTCTGGCTGAAATCTGGCCAAAATCATCCATATGGAAGAAGATCTATGTCGCTTTCACTTTGCATCGCTATGTCCGGCAACTTCGGTGTCTGAAGGCATCTCCTACCACGCCTCCAGGACCGCTCAGCGTGCAAGGACCACGGACTTGTGAATCGCCAATTTCGGTCCGCTCCTCGCCGTGGACCATTCGCCTCGTATGCGGAACTTTCGATCTTTTTCAACGAATGGTGCAAAATGGCATTGGACTCGGATCAAGTTCCCGAAGACGATCCGTCGAGGAAAGAGTCATTCGATGATTCCTCACCACTCGTTCTTACACACCAAGATATCAATCCCCGGAACATAATCGTAGGCGAAGATGGTCGACTTTAGATGATCGACTGGGCATGGGCAGGATACTATCCTCCTTGGTTCGAGTATGTAACAATGCAGAGACAGAAGGAGATTGAGAAAATGATAGGATTCAAGGATGATTTCTGTCAGAATTTGATTCCTTTCGTTTGTGGACCGTACTTCAGGCAAGAAAAACGGCTGGCGAGGATGTCGCGAGGGCTGAACTTTGTATAAGATTGAGATGAATATTAATATTACTGTAATGGAGAGGTTATGGTGACTCGTACGGCACACGTGTCCAGCGACAACGTGATGCTCCGTGATGGCATCCGCCTCTCATCTATCTCTCGTTGTCTCGCTTTCATCCTCTCGATCATGCTCGCATTTGCATGCCTGAACGACTAATTCGCCTCAGCGCGTGCAGGTCAAGTGATATTCAGCACACCCAGTGCGGACGATCGTCGCTCGCATGAGCCACAGCTCCAACTTCTATGCATGCCACAGTGGCAATTCGCGGCTATATAATTGCGACCTACGAGCGAAATGAAGTCGCTGTTTCGGGTACGATAATGGTTTAAGGTAATGCTGCCTCTATACCTGTTGGTCGATATCTACTCTCCTTTGTAACTCGGGATTTATCGTAGTTCGTCCGCAACATCTCACGGTGAGTGTGGAATGCCAAGCAGAAGATCAACCGCGACTGTTCAATAGATGGCGTGGCCGCAGCTCAATATTGTTTCTATTAAAGACTTTCAGGAAGGCACGAGAGACCTGAGAACCATCAGCATCTCAGGTCGGGACGATGAGAACTCAAATTCACCCGACCGTGGAATCTCCAGATTTATCGGCGAAGGAAACTTTCTCTTCTGAGCGGACCTCAATCTGATTGTCAGATGATTGATGTGCTGGAAGGATGGACTAGGACTTTATATACGAGGTTGTGTGTTCGCGTGTTCTCGCCGCACGCTCTCTCTCTGAAATCTTCCAATCTCGAAGTCGCCGCGCGCGCAGGAGCAATTGAAAGATCCGAAAGATACGTCTCACCATTATGACTGAACCGAAGTTCAGAGTCGGAATCATGTAAGTCGTCAGGTGATATATATATGTCAGGAACAAAGAAGCTTATCGGGGGCAAACAGCGGTGCTGGGATTGGAGGGTTGCTGCTCGCCCTTTCCTTGGCGAACTCTTGCGACAATATTGCGGTAGACGTCTACGAGTCTACCGCAGTGCTCAACGAGATCGGCGCTGGAATCGGCATATCGCAAAGAGTCTGGGAGATTTTGAGACATATCGGTTTGGAAGATGAATTTCTTTCCATATCATACGCGAAGAACCACGCCGATACAGCTCGTGCGTGTGTCTGTCGCTCATCGTGTCCCACAGAAATCTTAGCACCATTCTTTTCTGTTCAGCCCTAACGCTGACCTTCAGAAGGTCTGACCAACCAGAGGGGTTCTTTTTCCTCGAGACCAGCAGTATGGCTCTTTTATGTTATTCCTGGCCCACAGTCAACTCATTGATTGACGATACAGTCCAATTTGCGACCTATCACAGGGCACATTTCCAAGCCTTGCTCTGCAAGCACCTCCCGAAGTCGTGTCAAATTAAATTTTCCAAGCGCCTGGAGAATTATATAGAGAGCGACTCCGGAGAGATATGCCTGCAATTCGTGGACGGATCGACGGCCACATGCGACGTCCTTGCCGGCTGCGATGGCATCAAGTCCACAGTTCGTAGGGTTCTGTATCAGTCGCTTGCTGATAAGGCCATTCAAGATGGTAACAACGCGAAAGCCGCCGATCTACTAGCCCAAGCGAAGCCGGTCTGGTCTGGAAGGGTCGTTTATCGAAGTCTATTGTCCCGGGACGTACTTGAACATGCGTGTCCTGGACACCCACATTTGACGAGGCCATATTTGGTACAGCGATGTCCTTTAGCAATGTGTCTGCTGATATATACGTTTGTTTGCATTGCAGCGGACGGGAAGAGACAAAGTCAGTAGGCACCTGCTCACATCACATGAGCTTGCTTGACGATGCTCTTCAATTAGCATCTGATCACGTTTCCGATCTCTCATGGTCAAAAGCTTAACGTCAGCATATACGTTTTTGATGCAGAGAAGGAAAATACCCAATATGATAGCGCTGCCTGGATGCGCAAATGCTCCAAGGACGAATTCATCGCGTCTTTCTCCAACTTCGAGCCTCAAGTGACGGGATTGTTAAATGTACGAACCGTGCGCGACCGGTCCGTACTACGTACTCATACACAGCTTGTTGGGTCCAGTGTCTTGACGACGTCTCGGCGTGGGCGATCCATACATTGCCATTGTTGCCCACTTATGTAGGCGACCGAATTGTACTTCTTGGTGATGCGGTAGGTTCTTACCTCTGTCACTATCTCCGTGTCTTTCTACTACAACTAAACTCTGGATTGCAGGCACACGCAATGGCCCCCTTCCAAGGTGCAGGAGCTGGACTAGCAATGGAGGTATGTCTTTCACCTGTGCACTACAAATGTCATCGAGAACATTTCGCTAGGATGGCTTCATTCTTGCCTCAATTCTTGCCCACACTCACGTAACGCGCGACACTCTTCCCAGGGCCTTGCAGATCTACGATAGCATACGCCGTCCAATTACACAGTGGGTCGTCCAGCATTCGCGAGCGACGGGTGATTTCTACGACCTCAGAGCTGCGGGTTTCGACACGCTCTCTGACACGAAAGGCGCGCTTTCTGAAGGCCAGCTGGCGAAGATATCCAAGAGCCTGGATGGCATGTTCGAATGGCATCTGAATACCAGTGTGATGCCCGACCGAGACAGGGCCCTTGAGTTGCTGGATGCTATGGAATAGACCATGTATCATCTCACCGCGCGTTGTCTACACAACATGTATAATTTAGTATGCTCCTGGGTAGCTTGAACTTCCGACGAGGACATACATGGGCCTGTGTTTTTTTATTAGGCGTTGTCGTTTAATGAATGGACGATCGTACCCTTGATGTGCACTCCCTTCCAGATATGATCGAAAAAATTGGTGCGAGTCATATTTTGGTAAGCTGAAGCTCTTCGTTGTGCTCGAGACCATGTTCGGCGCGTAACGTTAAACTGATATTCGGGTCTTTAGTAAGATCATGTATGCTACCGCTGGTAACTCTACGTGGCTCCGGCTTTCACGACAGACAGAAATCTGTCTAGAGGGAATGAAAATTTAGCGACAAGAATTCTTCGATTTACCCTGAAACCTATTCACCTGCAAACAAATCAGTCCATCCTGCAGGGAAGCGGCAACTTCCGGGGCACTTACACTGTCTCATCACTATCACCATCGTCGAATCCCACATCCAGGGTCTGCGAATCGCTGGTAATTCCGTTCGTCTTCATCTTTACTCTCGATAGCGTGCGCGAGCCTCTGGCTTCCCTTCTCTGGATCAGATACTATGATGACCGAATTTGCGAGATGCACGCTTGTCTGGAATTGTATATGCATGCAGTCCCGATAGATTGTCCCCGTCAGAGTGGGACAAGCTCTCTTAGATAAAGCGCATGACCACTGCCAGGAGGAAGAACTCAACCCGACACGGTATACCATATACGCGTGAACTCCACATCACGAACCCATCGCGTAAACACACCGTCTATATGTCGCCACCTGAATGTCCCTCGCTCGCCGCTGATGTCGTTCCCCGAGCAGGCATGCATCGTGGCCTGCCCTTTTGAGTCGCATGTTCTGAAGTTCTGCCCGAGTTCTGATGCGGACACCAAGCTCGTCGACGACCCTGCCGTAAGTGAGCTTCGGACAATACTCGCTTGCTGCTTATATACGTGAAGGTAAGGATCAGACCAGTCCACGCTCGCCGCCTCGCCCCACGTCGCCGATGACAGATGGCCAGGCCTCCTAATTGAATAAAGATATATGATTGGAAGGATTGGGGAGAAGGCTGAGGGATACAACGAAGCGGAGGGAATGAAATGAAGAAACACAACTGAGAGTCACACGAATCAGCGCGTGCTGCATACCGTCCACGTACGGATGGCAGAACCTCGAGTGGCAGTCATCGTATGCACGCAACGGACAACGCTCACAGCCGTTGAGCTGGTCGACCTCCCGATGCGGAACGCTTACGGCCAGTGTGTTGACTTTCCCAGCCAGCCCACTGCGCGGCTGGGAGTTCGGGAGTCGCCCGCTCTCTAGAAGATGGCTCCACGGGGCCAAACCGATGGCCCGTCCCATTGTAGCCGCGCCCTATTATATACACGCGCGCTACTACTCTCCCACGCCGGTGGCGCAGGTCGCACCGGGGCCTCTCGCATCTGCGCTCCGTGCCCAGATTCCAACACAGTGAAGCTTGAAGGTTAAACTCACTAGCGAGGCGCACTCTCCGCCGAACAGCAATATCGCTCACCATCCTGCTCGCTACTGACCAACTTCGTGAGTACGGTGAGATGGCGGGGTTGCGATGGGCCGCTCTCATAATCGGGCTTGCCAGGACGCACAGACGGGCGGGATCGTGCATTAGATTTGAGCGACCGTATCACGCGAGCGGAGGGTTGTACAAACAGAAAGCGCGGGCGCATAGCGCACAATGAATGGTGTAGGATCAATTGCGCGAGGACTGATTGAAGCTGAAAGAGAGGAGTGACGCGAGTGCGGGCCCACAACGCCACACATTCTCTCCTTGCTTGCTCCTGCCACCTCAACTCTCCTCGTAGAAGACTGCCATCGCACAGTCAATCTGATCGACAATGTCACCTCAGGAAGGTGATGGAAAACTATTTTCGCTCGAGCAATTGAGTACGTTGGACTTGATCAAGACACTGTCTTCCAGGCTCGAGCAAGGTGACACTCGCCAACGGTGTGTCTCTGTCCGCCCTGACCGTATCACTATCCATACTGATCTTGACTTCATTGCGTTCAGCATACTTCCTGTCAGTACTGTTTGCTTCCAATCTAGCGCAGCAAACTGATATAACGGCATATAGCTCGAGGATCTTGATGGACTGATCAAGGCAGCCGAGACTATGGTTCAAGCTATGCGGCGCGAGCGGAATGCCCGCGTCGCGATCAACCATCTTCCTGCCGAAGTACTCGAGGAGATATTCGTGACCACTTGCACCGTCAAGCTAGCTGAATACAGATTCAAACACTATGGGTGTGGCGAAGCGATGACCATATGGAACCCAACTTGGATTGAAAAGGGCAGAGCAGTCGGTCTCATGCTTGTCTGCCATCCTTGGAAAGAGATCGCCTCGGGGATACGGGAGCTCTGGAATGGCGTTGAAACATATTGGGAACATAAAGATCGTATCTTGTTGGAGAGGTCCGGCCAAGGCCCGCTCAAGGTGCTGACTCACGGCAAAATGGAACCACCTTATGCTGTTGTGCATGCTCTTCAAAATGTGGAACATTCATCCCGAATCCAAGAGTTGTACTTGACATCCCCCTTATTAGCACGTGAGAACAGAGAATATTTTGGAATGCTAGCGCCCTCGCTGAGGTCTCTTGCGTTGCAAGGTGACTACAGTCGTGTGCCAAACGAGACGCTCAACCTCTTTGACAACCACATCCCCTGTCTAGAACGCCTGTCGCTCTCATATGTGGGTTGGCTGCCCAGCAATGCGTTCGCCGAACTGACATTCTTGGCTATCGACCAATGCTATGTATCCAAATGCCGCGCCAAAATACGCAGCGTGCTTGCTGGAACACCAAACCTAGTGGATCTCGTCCTGCGAAAAGTGGCTGACCAACACTTCGGATACATCCGAGTGGAAACAGAGGCTGCGGACATGAAGCCCGTGTCGCTCACTCGGTTGCGGCGTTTACTGATCGAGAATATGTGGACCGATGATGTCGACTATGTCTTCCGCGATGCTCGGCTAGACGGAGACATATCCGTCTCGATCAAACGTGTGAGACCGCGCGATGATGGCCATCGAATTCTCAAAGTGGTATCCACTTGGTCATTGAATGCCTTGAAACATCCCAAAGAACTGCATTTCCAGCCACACGTCGCCATCATCGCTGGAGCCTCATCTGGGTTCCGTTTTGAGGTCGAGAGAAGCGTGTCCCTCCGGTATTGGTTCAGCTGGTCACGGAACCTTCCCCTTTCCAGCATCTCTCACCTGTGCACGTTTGAAGATGCAAGCATGCCGACCAGTCTTGAACGTGTCCACAATTTTCTTAGGCAGATGACCTCGCTTGAGACATTGTCCGTCAACATTGAAGGCCTGACGAAGATCATCGACGCACTTACACTCTTCCTAGATCCAACCGACCCGCCTCTCTGTCCCGCACTGACGACGCTACGTATCACCATCCGTCAAGACAGTGACTGTAACACGATCCTAGACTCTCTCCTCCCGCAAGATGCGCAGCTTGGCGTCAAACACCTGTACGTCGGGCTGATCGGTCCTCCGAATGAATTTGGGGAAGCCCTTCAAGCTGCGAAGGATCACCTGCATGGCAACTTCGAATCGGTGAAATCCGAGACGCTGTTGTACGATAAGGCATACAACATTACTTTGCCACTGGTTTGTGATAAGGAGGTGCATGCTTTGTGGCCACGCTGGCTTTAGGTATCATGTAGATGAGAGGCGACATTCAAGATACTTTCTGGCTTCCTGGGGTGCGGGTGAAGTCCTAGTCTGTAAGTGTCCGTTGAATTATCGAATCAATGACCAAATGGCATTATTCACGCAGAAATATCACTCTTATGATCACCTTTACACTGTATTTCAGCTGTTCCGATGAATGATATTATGCAGACAATGCTCGTCGCGTTGCACACCGTAGCAATATTTTCTCACCGGCCAATCTCAGATATAACAAGCGTACGAGGAATTTCCAATGATGGCATGGATTCCGATGCTAACGCTATAGAACAACTACTATCCTGGCGATCCTGAATCCGTCAGGTGTCTCGGATCTAACGCCATCTCTCCCCGCACAACACCCATTCGCTGCTCACATTTGCAGACATAAGTATCGGACCAGTCCACGCTCGCGGCCTCGCCTCACGTCACCTGCGGTGACAGGCGGCCAGCCTTCTAGATGGATGAAGAAATATATGGAAAACGTTGAGGAGGAAGCGAGGGATACAACGGAGCGGAGAGAATGGAACGAATAGACCTTTTTGAGAGTCATACAAATCGGCGGGCGCTGCATACCGCCCGTGCATAGGTGGCAGAGCTTCCAGCGGTCGAGCGGTCGCGAGGGTGTCAATCAAGGCACGCTTGCAATGGGACGACGCTCATAGCCGATAGAGCTAGTCGACCACCGGATGCGGAACACTTATGATCATTGAAGCTTGAAAGTGAGATGAAAACTCACCAGCGAGATGCACTCTTCGCCGCATAGCAGTATCGCTCCCCAGCCTATCAGGCTGCTACTAACCGGCGACTCGGTGGTTGGGTCTATATGAGTACAGTGAGATGGCGGAATTGCGATATGGCGCTCTCATAATCGAGCTTGCGACGGACGCACAGACTGCCGGAGCCGTGCATTGGATTTGAGTAAGTGGATCATGCGAGAGAGGGTTGTATACCGAACAGAAAACGCAGGGCAAATAGAATACGATGGGTGGAGTCAAAGCCAGTTAAGCGACTGACCGTCTGCCTTCGTTCCATCCACCATCCTCCATCGAATGGTACCACTGCTCGGTTGCAGCATCGCACCCCTTTTCTCGCGCTCCTCATGCACGATGCGTGCCGATCATCTACCAGCCGAGGGTCGCACGGTGGTATGTCCTACCAGTCACGACGTCAGTAATAGAACAGATGGCTGACTGACCTTGTGCATGTAGGACACGGCGGGAATTTGGATTAGATGAACAGTCTTGGTAGCGGGCATGCATGGAAGAATGATAATATGAACACATTCGCGAACTCGTTCTGGCGTGCAATATCAGTGACAGTCGGGCGATCAACTGATCCAGAGAGCATGCGGCATCGCCTCGAAGCTCAGCTACGAGTGAGATAACGAGGTCTCGCTCGACCCGTCAGATGCGTGTCTCACCTTGAATGTCTTGTGCGGGGACCGCTGACACTGCAGGCATGAAGGCATTTATTCCCACTGCAAATGCACTGAAAATGTGTTCTAAAGTGTGACCTATGCAACACTATGCCCTAATTAGGCAACATTATTTCCCAAAAAGGCAGTCAATTACAATTTCGTGTCATTAAGTAACGGTCGCAAATGCTTTCATGTCTGCGGTGTGAGTGATCGTTTGAAGCCCAGGCAACTGAGGCGGGCGCTTAGCTCATGTCGAGAATACGATCACATGATGTCGCTTCGCGTTCGCGTCTGTGGCGTCGAGATCTCCATGGCCCTCGCGTACCTAACTTACCCGCTCCCAATTGTATTACCAGGTCACATCGTTTTCCTCGAGTTCAACTTTTCCAGCTACTTTCTGACTGTTTTTCTCACCATGTCAGAGCTTACTCTAGTAAGCCTTAACTCTGTAAGAATGCTAGATATATGCATGCATTCACCCTCGAGTCCACGCTAGGAGCGTCAAAGTGCACACAGATAAATTGAGGAGACAGCCACAGAGAACGCGAAAGTGATGTTGAATAATCCAGGTTGTGGCTGCAAGCTGAGTTGGCGCAGGCGCAAGTGTCACGATGTGTGTGACGAACGCGTCTGTGTCTGAGATCTCCCACTGGAAGCGTGGGGGGCCAATGATGGATCGCGCTCCATAGCGATAAACTTCAACGACATCGAAGACCGACTCTATATGTAACATTCGATGAGCAACCTTTCGTATCCACTAGCAAACAGGATTCAAGCACGATTCCGATCACCTATCCCTGTAGCGACGCCCTGAGCTTCCACACGCTCTTGATCGCCGGGCGCGCCATGAGTTTCTGAGGCCACCTTCAAGACACACGAATCAGCCTCCCCACACACGATATCGAGCAAAAGCAGGGAAAAACGCACGCATGGAACGCAGGATAGTCATTCTCGAGCTCGAGCCCCTCGACATCGTTGAGACACATCCCAAGCGAACCGTTGTTCCATCTGATTCACATCACGTCAGTCGTTCGCACAGTTGATCGGTACACGGCCACGCACGTTATGAAGGCCATATCCGCGACGGAGCACTTTCCGCCGACGAGCCACTCCTGCTTCTGCAGCACGCTCTCGAGCACGCCGATCACGCGGAGCGCCTCCTTCTGGTACCGCTGGACGGCGCTCGGCACCTTCTCCGGGTGGTACACCTTGATCCAGATCGCCTGGCCAAAGTACGGACTAAAGAGCGAAGAGCATCGAGCATGAGCACAGACGCGCAAAGTGGACGGAGGAGGATGTGGGCACGCACCCCCTGACCAGAGGCCTGTAAGAAGAGCCATTGAAGCTGGAGGATCTTGTACCTCGGGCGTCACGGCCGAGATTCGCTGTGCGGTGTCGTACTGTGCGGTGTCGTTCTTTTCGACGAAGTACGCGATGATCGCGTCCGACTCCCTGGCGCGCGCGTCAGCTATGCAGTAATCTGGACAGACCAGACGAGACGCGCACAGATGACAAAGTTGTTGCTTTTGTGGTCGATGACGGTCGGGATGCGCCCGTTCGGGTTGTATTTGGTGTATGCGGGCGCCTTAATCTCGCGCTTGTCAAAGTCGAGGTAGATGCTCTCGTACGTGAGACCGAGCTCTGTCATGACCATCGCCACTTTCGTAAAGATAGACGCGCGGTCAGTGCGGCTCGCAGACGCGTCGAACGAGGGCGCACGAACCAGCCGTAGAGGCCGCCCTTGTAGGTGTAGAGCGTGAACTGCGTTTTGGGCAACATGTTTGTGCGGCGCTGGATGAGATGCTGATACAGTGAGGATCTTTATGCAAGGGCGGGGAGGACTTGGTATGTCTGTGCAAGCCACTTTTGGAAGGGGTATCCAGCTGGTCGTTGAACGCCTTGAAGCAACCCAAACAACTGAATTTCCAGCCGCACCGCGCCATCGTCACTGGAGCCTCTTCCGTTTTCCGTTTTGAGCTCCAGAGATGCAGGACCCTCGAAGATTGGACCGCATTCAACTGGTCACAGATTCTTCCCCTTTCCAGCATCTCGCACTTGTGTACGTTCGAGTTGGACGTATGCAAGCGGCCCAGTCTTGAACGTGTCCACAACCTTCTTAGGCAGATGACCACGCTTCAGACACTGTCCGTCGACATTGATGGCCTGATGAAGATCGTCGATGCACTCACACTCTTCCGAGACTCAATTGACCCACCTCTCTGTCCCACACTGACTACGCTACGTATCGCCATCTGGAAAGATAGCGATTGCGACATCATCTCGGACTCGATCCTCCCGCACCGTGCGCAGCTTGGTGTCAAGCACCTTTATATTGGGCTGATCGATCCTCAGCCTAGTGAACACTGGAGACCTCGTCAAGCTGTGGAGGACGAATTGCATGGCAAATTCGAGTCGGTGAATTTCGAGACACTGTTGTATGCTGGTGAATACGGCATTGCTTTGCCGCCGGTTTGTGTTGAGGAGGCGCATGCTTTGTGGCCGCCCTGGCTTTAGATGTTGTGTGGATGAGAGATGACGTAAATTGCAGTGACACCAAATGTATGCTCATGTCTGGGTTCTCGTCTCGGTCGCTCAGTACTCATTGCTCATTACCATTTTTTCTGACGCTCACGGAGCGGGCATGTATCAGAGAGGAAAAAACACACATTTTATGCTATAGCAGATGTCAACCCTTGTGAATGCAAATGCAAGCTTTCAACGGAGATGTCGTGAATGTCATGACTATGTGCTAACCCTCCACAGCGCCATGCACTCCGCCACTGTCCATACATGATGCCGCCCATAGCATCCTTGGCCGAGATGCCATCGCAGGTGCAGTGTGCCTGCCTCGCAATGTCCGATTCAACCATGCAGGTCACTGACGTGCCAGACCTGTCAAAGCTGGAGCTGCAGAAGTATCGGAGGGCGTACTCATCATCCGTGCGCGGCCCAAAGTGAATGGCGGCAGCTCACCGGTGAAGCTTGAGCTCTCTTTGAGCGAGGCGAACTCGGCGTTCTGCTGCTGCACCTGCTGTCCAATCGTGAAGAAGAAGTCTCAAGTGCACGTCAGGCACACCAGTCGCGATGACGATGTGCGCACCGTACCTTGCACGCTTTTCGATTGAAGGGCGTCACCTCTTTTGTCGTTACTTGCACTAGGACTTGTAGGCATCCTACTGCCTAGACAACTCTCGTCTACCATGGCATTAGCATATACCGCTGATGCTACGACTGAATTGACAACACTCAGCTGTTTTTGAGCAAATTTATTCGTACGCAACACTACATAATATGGCTTTGAGCAGGCTGGGAAAGTGGCAACCACGTCGGTGGCGCACCCTTTTTTGATGACCAGGTCACGGCACACGTGCTTGTGATGTCTGGCGACACCGTGACAGCCGCCTCTCGTCTGTCTCTCGTCCTCTCGCTTTCGTCGTCTTGACCATGCTCGCAATTGCGTGCATGAACGACTAACTCGCTTCAGCGCATGCAGGTCAAGTGACTTTCGGCACACCCAGTGCGGACGACCGTCTGACCGTTCGCATGATCCACAGGTCCAGCTTCCATGTGGCATGGATACCCGAGTGGCAGTTCGCGGCTATATCAGTGCGACTTTCAGGTACAATGATGCTGTAAGTAACGCTGTCTCTATCGCTATTGGACGATATCAACCCTCCTTTGTAAGTCAGAGTCTGTCGTAGTTCGTCCGTGGCATCTCGAGGACACACGAGACAATTCCTTCAACCTCCGTGGACTCCGGATATCCGTGGCTGCGTGATAGGCAGAAGACGAACCGCGACTCTTTGATAGATGGCGCCGCCTCAATCTGATACTGTCTCTGTTCAAGACTTTGAGGCAGGAACGAGAGACCTGGAACCATCAGCATCTCAGGTCGGGACGACGAAAAGTCAAATTTACGCGACCGTAAAATCTCATAGGCGGGGGATCCTTTCTTTTCTCAGGGGACCCTTAAATCTGGCTGTCAGATGATTGATGTGCTGGAAAGCTGGACTAGAACCTTATATACGAAGTCTGTGTCCGCGCATTCTCGCCGCACGTCCTCACTCTGCGATCTTCCAGTCTTGAAGTCGTCGCAAAGCGTAACTGCGTTTGAAAGATCCGAACGACACGTATTCTCACCGTTATGACTGAACCGAAGTTCAGAGTCGCAATCGTGTAGGTCGTCAGGTGATCTATCTATGTCAGGAACAGAGAGGCTTATCGGGAGCAACAGTGGTGCTGGGATCGGAGGGCTGCTGCTCGCCCTTTCGTTGGAGAAATTCTGTGACAACATCGCAGTAGACATCTACGAGTCTACCGCAGTGCTCACCGAGACCGGTGCTGGAATCGGTGTATGGCCAAGAGTGCAGGAGATATTGAGACATATCGGGTTGGAAGATGAACTTCTTTCCATGTCATACTCGAAGAGCCATGCCGACGCGGCTCGTGCGTGCATTTATCGTTCATTATGTCCTCGGAAGTCTTAGCGCTGTTCTTCTCTGTTCAGCCCCAACATTGACATTCAGAAAGTCCGACCAACTAGAGGGGTTTCCGTTCCTCGAGAACAGCGGTATGGCTCTTTAATGTTATTTATGGCCCATAGTCCACTCACTGATTGATGATATAGTCCAATTTGCGACCTATCATAGGGCACACTTCCAAGCTTTGCTCCGCAAGCATCTTCCGAAGTCATGTCGAATCTACTTTTCCAAACGTCTAGCAACCTACACAGAGAACGACTCCGGAGAGATATTCCTGCAATTCTTGGACGGATCGACGGCCACATGCGACGTTCTTGCCGGTTGCGATGGCATCAAGTCCACAGTTCGTAAGGTTCTGTACCAGTCGCTAGCTGATAAGGCCATACAAGATGGTAACAACGCGAAAGCCACCGATCTGCTAGCCCAAGCGAAACCGGTCTGGTCAGGAAGGACCGTTTATCGAAGTCTACTGTCCCGAGATGTACTTGAACATGCGTGTCCTGGACATCCACATCTGACAAAGCCATATTTGGTATGGCGGTGTCCCTTCAAAATGTGTCTGCTGATATATATGTTTCGTTGTATTGCAGTGCGCCGGGAGAGACCACGTCAGTAGGTTTTCGCTTACCTCACATGAGCTTGCTTGACCATACTCTCCGATCAGCATGTGGTCACATATCCGATCTCTCAAGGCCAAAAGCTTAACGTCGGCGTATATATATTCGATGCGGAGAAAGAAAATACACAATACGATAGCGCTGTCTGGGTGCGCAAATGCTCCAAGGACGAATTCATCGCCTCTTTCTCCACCTTCGAGCCTCAAGTGACGGGATTGTTAAATGTACGAACCGTGCGCGACCGGTCGGCGCTACGTATTCGCTCATAGCTTGTTCGATCCAGTGTCTTGATGACGTCTCGGCGTGGGCGGTCCATACATTGCCATTGTTGCCCACTTATGTAGGCGACCAAGTTGTGCTCCTTGGTGATGCGGTAGGTTCTTGCCCTTCTGTCACTATCTCCTTATCTTTCTACAACTGTATTCTGGTTTACAGGCACACGCAATGACCCCATTCCAAGGTTCAGGAGCTGGGCAAGCAATGGAGGTATGTATTTCTCCTGTGCACTAGAAATGTCATCGAGGACATTTCGCTAGGATGGCTTCATCCTTGCCTCAATTCTCGCCCACTCTCACGTAACGCGTGACACTCTTCCCAGGGCCTTGCAGATCTACGATAGCATACGCCGTCCGTTTTCTCAGTGGGTCGTCCAGCATTCGCGAGCGACAGGCGATTTCGACGACCTCAGAGCTGCGGAATTCGAGAAGCTCTCTGACACAAAAGGCGCGCTTTCTGAAGGCCAGCTGGCGAAGATATCCGAGAGCCTGGATAGCATGTTCGAGTGGCACATGAATACCAGCGTGATGCCCGACCGAGACAGGGCCCTTGAGTTGCTGAATGCTATGGAATAGATCATGTGTCAATATACCGCACGTTGTCTACACAATATGTATAAGTGGTATGCTCCTGGGTAGCTTGAACTTCCGACGAGGACATACATGGGCCTGTACTTTCTATTAGGCGTTGTCGTTTGATGACTGCACGATTATCTGCACTCCCGTCCAGATATTATCGAAAAAATGGTACGACTTAAACTTTGGCAAGCTCAAGCTCTTCATCGTTCTCCACATCACGTTAGCGTAACGTTGAACTGATATCCGGGTCCTTGTGGCCATGTATGCTACCGCTGGCAACACTACGTTTAACGCAATTCGTACCTAGATTAGGTAGGTAATATTCAGTGACTCCCCCTTTCATGGCAGACAAAAACTTGGAGTTTAGAGGAAATGAAAATTAAGTGACAAGAGTTTACCCTGAAACCTACTCACCTTCCAAATCAGTCCATCCTGCACACAGCGGCAACTTCCGGGGCACTTACACTGTCTCATCACTATCATCCTCGTCGAATCCCACATCCAGGGTCTGCGAACCGCTCGAATCCTCGTTTGTCTTCATCTTTACCACTTTCGATAGCCTGCACGAGCCTCCAGCTTCTTGTTTTTGACTTCTTCGCTTTCACGATGCGACGCAGTCCGCCGAAGGTTCACGAAATTGCGATGTTGCACGTTGGCAAGAGTTTCTAGGTCGTGAAGATCTTTGTGCTATGGAGCGCGGAAGCCTCGAGGTCAGGAGAGAGTTGAGCACAGCAATTTTCGTTTCCGCCTGTATCCGCGGTCTTGGAATATCCTCGATCGCATCAAGTCTGGGGTCTTGGATAACAACCGCTCGCTTGGCAATAGCTGCATAAACAAGGGGCCGCGTCTGGCATTCAATGAGTAAGTACATCTCATAGTGCCGAGAAGCGCGCGGGAAAGCCCTGACGTTTGACGGCGGTGAGTGAGGCCCGTTTGATGCAACATGTTCTCCGCGCCTGCACGCAAGCCGACTGATCCGTCCAAGCTATTTCTAAATTTGATTGGAGCAATGGATTCTATAAAACTTCCCCATGTTGCAAGACTCTCCTCTGGCATTGGACCTCGCTCTGAACCCTCCAAGACACGCCGACTATGTTTGCTGTGCTACTCTCTCTCGCGAGCATCGTATCCTTCGTGCGTGCCCTGCCTGCTGGACACCTCACAGCGCAGGATACCCCTGTTTGGTGTGCTGGCTTTGGTCCCGGCGCATTCGACACTGGGTACAACTTCACATTGGCCGCGGTGAACGTAACACTTCCGAATGCCAACTCGACAGGTGCACCTCTTGTCCTTGGACAGAACGGGGCCGCCGATGGTGCCGAGTTCGAGGTTCTTTCGGTGCGCCGTTCCGTACTCCCATTAATCATAGTAGATGTTCACCTTGTCTCCGGTACAGACATATGCATCGTACCCGTATAACGACTTTCCGACACTCTCCCTTTTGGCTGGCTCGCTCATCCCGAACTCTGCGAGCGGTATAGCCTCCGTGGATTCAGACGTCTCTTCCGGTGACGAACTCGCCTTTGTCACCTCGAGCTCCGGTCTTTCCTCTCCAGCGCAGATATACTGCGCTATTGCCGACACAGACCCGACGGAGGGCAGCCCATATCCGGTCCTCGCTGTTAATGGCGACACCGAAGGCTTCGCGTTATGCATGAACGGCGACGGTCCATACGCGCAAAACAACGTTGTGTGGCAGCCTACGGACGACAACGGTGGCGAGTATCTGTATGATACGTGTTACAACGTGACGATACAGCTGCTTGGGTTGAATTGAAGGGTTGGAACATATGGATGATAGCCTTTGTGGACTGGACTGCTGTTACGTTGGAATGCATGGACATGATGACGATGGGCGGACTTTTTACGATTCTCTCGACGTAGCTGTACCTAATGATTCATGTATTCACAACAGACTGTACGACGTTGGCTGACCTTTGAACACGGCAGATTACTCAATACACAACCTTGATTAGAAAACGGATTTCGGCAGGATTTCGGCCGGCATAGCATTCCTGCGCATGAAAGGTCATCATCGTTTTCCTCTTCCTTTGCCTCTTGCAGGTGCGCTTTGCGAAGGGCTCTCCTCCGCGGGTTTTGATTGCATGGCCGCTTCGAGCAGGCCCTCGTTGTGCAGGCATGTTATGAACTGCGTGATGAAGGGTTCGTAGTCGAAAGTCCGCTTGATCTGTTCGGTCTATACGCATGCGGATATGTCAGCACCCGTCTCAGAAGCCAGAATATATCGTCCTGTCTCCATGAGGTGATAAAGCGACCGTGGTCATCGGCTTCGCGAGAAGAGGAAACGTGCCGGGGCCACTCACATTCGCTTCCCTCGCTTTCGTAATCTCGTCCTCGACGGCGACCTTGGCACTCAGGGCAGCTTGCACGCATGCCTCCCACGCTGTTGGAAGGCTGCGTGCCGGCATGTCGAGGATGGCAATCTCCCTGTCCATCTTGCGCGACCCGAAGTCCTCGCTAAAGACAGTTCCCTCCGACGCCGGTCGAACACACGTAGCGAAGGCATCGGCTGCACACGTGTAGAGCGTCTGATCAACCTAAAGCGCCTGGTTCGGAACCGTGCGAGAAGCAATAGAAGGCAGAGACCGACCTTATCTGCCCAGCCTTCTGGATAGGTCTCTCGCAGCCGCCGCTCGAGCGTGTTGCGCTCGCGTTTGAGCAGCTCGAGCTTGTCGCTGGCTGCGCAGTACCTATCGTCGACGATTGCGAGGAGATTGTACCGTATGTGGTCGCTCTCGCTGGCGGTGTACTGCTGCATCCGCATCCGCAGTGCGGGGCGCACGACATCCATCCAGCTGTTCCGGGCGTCCGATGGTCCGCCCAGTTCGCCGACTTCGAGCGCAGATTTACGGAGCCCGTCGAGCTCCCAGACTCTGCCGCGCGCGGGGACGTAGCCGATGAAGTGATATACCTCCTGCTGCTCTTCGGCGGCTTTGGCTGACTTGCATCTGGCTTTTGAAGGGGAGCTCGAGACCTTGCGTTTCTTAGGTGGCGGCTTTGCTGCCTTCGCCTGGGCCTTGCTAGCCTTGACTGTTGTTGTTGCGATAGAATGGAGAGCTCCGCGGATGTCCGCCGGTCTTAAAATTACTTAGCTTTATCACCTGATATCACAATCGAAGTAGACACACCGTGCTAGAGAATTTTGAGCCTCTCGTATGAACTGAGATCCAGACAGAGCAAGACCTCTCATCTACAAGGGGTGTCACTAGATGCGCCTTCTTTCGTTTGCCAACCAGATATAAGAGCAGCACTAATACTCACAACTGGGGACATCTGCTCGGTTATGGCTCGGAACTCACGCAGTTCCTCGCCCAGTTCAACATTCGGGCAGTTGAGTAGTACGTTGAGCAGCGCTTGAGAGGAACAGGCATCATTGCTGAGCTGATTGGCGAACCAGATCACTTCCGCATCTGGATCGTCAATATATGCTATGTTCTCTGCTGCCTCGTTATCGTCGGTGCACAGGTAACAGAATATCAGACCGTGCGGCTCCAAGTGATCGACCGCCCATGGTTCAATGTCATAGATTTCGGTGACTTCAAGTCCTCGGACTCCCAGCTTTCGGATGAGTGCAGTGAAGACGCCTTCCTCGTGGTCAGCAACGTAGACTCAGGTTGAGCATGAACATACCTGGGTCAGACTCGATAACGGCGAATGGCCCGCCCACTAGATCGTGCGACGTATCTTCCGTGCTCGTCGCCATATGCCTTGCCTATACTGCCTGTAAAGATTTTGTACAATGCTCCAGTGGCATGTGGCGGCACATCGCGTGAGACCTGAGTTCGTCGCCGGTCGCTGTACCAGGCAGCAGCTATGCTCGCGTGGGCATATCGTGATGCGTGACGCTTCGCGTTTTCAGCACGTGATCCGTCACACCGCGCCGCGTTCGATGCGAACTACAGCTTTAGACTCGGAAAATTATTCCGCTGAGAGCACATCCTGACTTCTCCCGCACCATAATGCCTCAACACTGGTACAGTAGATTTTGTCTAGATTTCTGTGTCCGAGCCAGCAGAAAGCTATCAACGCAACAAAACCAGCAAGTGATTTTGTTTTGAATTGGACTCGGACCCGAGTATTGCGGGAGTGGTGGGGCGGCGTTCCTGAGCCAGTCACTGGACTTCCCCCTATATAGCGTCTGGAAGTCTGTTACCCAACATATCCCCTCATAAAAATGTAATTCACTCTGAAAGGTTTGAAATGATACTACTTCTAGGTTTATTGACTCACTGCTCACCCATTACCATCTGCTATAGCCACATACGAGCGGCCGTATATTCGCGCGTATGATGTCAACGATGTTTTCCTCACAAGATCCGCTGTTATTCACCCCACCCATGGATAGCTAAGGCTGTTAGGATGCCAGATTTCTTTCCGGCGCTCCTTCATATTTGCTAGTCAGCTGCTTCATTTGTCTCCACAGTATCGGGGCAAGTACCGCAGGGGATCCGTTGCGAATCCTCACAAGAAGCCGATGTAGCCGATGCTAGAAGCATCCAGGTCGTCGAATGTATTGCGGTCCGTCCCGCGGAACGTCGAAGTTCGTAACGCGGTCCAACGATAGCCCGAACACCGCGGTAAGTTTCCCATTCGGCATCGCTTACGGCCTAAGAACGTTTATCACCTCCTGATCAAATGGACGTTCTCCTCGGAGAAACGCCGATGATATCTTCAACTGTGCGCGTGAATTGACGTTCTCGTTTCGCCTTACAAAATCACAATTTTCATGTGCAGAGTTCTAATGCCACATCCCAAACACCAAATACTACCTACTCAGACCACATATCTGAACTGAATGAGTAATCAGATGAGAATGCATTTCCAACGCATTCCTGCTGTCGCTCGAGGCGATAATGCTGCTGCGTTCGTATATCATGCCCGGGACTTCGTCTATGGACCGGGGTGTGACCTGCGCTTATGGTCTTGAGCTCCCACAACGGTTGCAATGGAGCGGTTTTTCATCACATGGTGTGTCTTCTCATTAACGGAACGAGGGACGAGGCTCATCTCTGTGGAACACCTTTCGTTCAGACATACGCGTGGCTTGGATACTGTCCGAATCGACGATGCCCTAATCATTTTTACCGGCTTGATATGCCTTAGACTAGGCAATTGGTGGGACGTGCCCAGCCAAATGAAACACCGCACTAACACATGCGTATCACGATACCGGAAGAGGTGGAAAGCTCGGAAGGGCTTTGTTCATAATAGACATTCCGATCGCGTCTACCATAGCCCGCACATAGATATAATGCGTCATGGATGCACTCATGGCGTCCATGCTAAATTTCTACCTCAACGCTAGCTACGAACCTACATAACCATGCAGAACGAAAGATTTCGGATTGCAATAGTGCACGTCTCCTTTGATCCCACGGCTGGACCGTACAGCTAATATATAATAACCAGAGGCTCTGGCATAGGAGGGCTCACGTTCGCATTATCCCTACATGAGCTGTGCCAAGATATCAGGGTTGATATCTACGAGTCTACCGCCTCGTTTACGGAGATAGGCGCTGGAATAGGCCTCTGGCCAAGGCCATGGGAAATCATGCAGGCTCTAGGACTCGAGAGCGACTTACTGTCTATCTCTGATACTAGTGGCTCATTGGAACGTTGTGAGTAACATGATGATAGAGATGACGTGCCAGTGTGTTCGTCGTTCATTCGCCAACAGGGGTACAGTTCATCTACCGCAAGTCTGACCAAGCCGAGGGCGTCACTTTTTGTGAAGGTCGACAACGAGGTAAGTGCAGGTGAGACCATCCGCAGCCCGCAACGCTGATACGAGTTGTGGCAGTCAGATTCAAGCCTCTGCATCGGGCCGATTTTCAAGCTATCCTAAGCAAACGTCTTCCGGACAGCTGGGACGTCCACTTTTCAAAGAGGCTCTCCTCGTATGACGTGACGCGTACCGGTGAAATTTCTCTTCGGTTCACCGACGCATCTACCGCGACGTGTGACTTACTCGTCGGCTGTGATGGTCTAAAATCTGCCGTTCGCATGGGTCTCTACAGCACTCTTTCGCAACAGGCACAAGCGGCCGGTGACGATGTGGGCGCCGCGCGGCTTCGTTCGATGTCGACCCCGATGTGGACCGGGAGTGTAGCGTATCGTGGGTTGGTTCCAAGAACTGCACTTGAAGAAGTGGACCCGACCCATCCAGCACTTACAGATGCCCTAATGGTGTGTCGTCCGACCGATTAACATGTGTGATACACGCTAACTCATTGGGTAGTACTTCGGAAAAGACAAGGCGAGACTATGAGCTTTAAGTCACCACTGACCATGTAACTGACATTGAAAAATAGCATCTTTTAACATTTCCAGTGTCACAAGGCAGAGTGATAAATGTCGTAGCGTTTTTCTCACAGCCCGAGCTGGAAGGCACAGCCTATGATGGTCCTTGGGTCCGCCAGGTTACCAAGGATGAACTCCTCGCTGACTTCGCTTCATGGGAGTCGCAAGTCCGATCCTTATTAGGAGTATGTCAACCTCCCGCACGAATAGCGGCGTCTTCTGACATCTCACGGAGCAGTGCTTGGACAAGGTCTCTCTCTGGGCGATCCACAGTCTGCCGTCTCTACCTACATATGTTGGTAATCGCGTGGCGCTTCTTGGGGATGCGGTCAGTACTACGGAAGCGTTCACTGAGTTTAATAGCTGAAGTTGTTTCTCCTGCCATGCATCTCAATTATTAGGCACATGCCATGACGCCTCATCAAGGTTCAGGCGCTGGACAGGCTGCTGAGGTATGACTGTTTCCCTTAATCCCGTTAAACTATCTATTCATGCATGCGGTCTCAGGATGCCTTCGTACTTGCTAACATTATTGCTCATCCTGCCGTCACGATGGAAACACTCCCCGACGCACTCCGTGTATACGACGAAATTCGTCGACCCTTTTCTCAAGAAATCGTGGAGCGCTCCCGCCAGACAGGCTTGATCTACGATCTGGTTAGCCCGGCTCTCCCGCACATCACCGAAGAAGCAAGTGCGTCTGGCGAAATTCCCTCCGAAATTCTTGAAGAGGCCGGCAGAATGGTCGTGGATCTGACGAGTTGGTTGGGGAGCACTTCTATTATGGACGACCGCGACAAGGCTTTGGCGATGTTGAACGCTCTGTTGAACACAGAGCACTGAAGTATGCACAGCGACTGAATATATCTAAGGATCCTACATGAAGCACGGGACATGAACTCTACTACAAGAAAGAAGCACCAGCCGTCCACGACCGATCGAAGCTATGAAGCAATGTTCTGCGCGGATATCTTGTTATCCATCGTCCATGTCTCGTATGGAAGGGGGAAGGTGACCGTGAACAGCGCACACGCTATCACGATGAGAATAAGATAGACGCCGTAGCCTCCCAGCCAGTTCTGTTCCAGTGACAGCGCATATGTTGACGTCGCGAAAGCAGGCCCAACCGCGCGCACGACCGACCCTGCGACTTGCGCAACCCCGTTCGTCGCACCGAGCGATCTCCTGTTCGGCGCGCAGGTAGTGACGAACATCAGGATACAGCCTAGCGAACCGCGCATTAGTCAGCTGAAGCTCTGAGGAGCGAGGTCAACGGACGAACCAAAGGACATATCCATGACGATGGAGACCGTCAGCTGCAAGAACACGACGCCCCATACGGCTGGAGTCATCCCCGTTCGGAAAGCCAGCGCGTTGATCAGTGGGAACAGTGAAAACAGCGGGACGAAGGTCGACATGCCAGCCATAAACACACGCTTCGGGCCCCAGCGTCGCACGACAGGGGCGAAGAACAGAGCCTGAACAGAGCCGTTCATGACTCCCCACGTGCCTAAAAGAGCGCCGATGGTCGCGGGTGAGAATCCAAGGCCGCCCAGCTCGATTGGCGTCGAGTAGAAGAGAGGCTGGGTAGCGCGGTATGCGATTTCGAGAAATGCGAGCGCGCCGTAGTTGGCAACGGACAATAGGACGGGCCAAATGAGCAGCGAGCGGAGTGGTGCAGGGGCCTCGAAGACTTCTTCGAGAGCATGCAAACTTTCGTCTGTCTCGGTTGTTCCCGATGGAATTTTAAAACGCTTCTTTTGTACGGTCTGGACGAACGTCAAGTAAGGCTACTTCATTTATTGGGAGCGATGACATACCTCCTTCAGAAAGACTGCGACGATCGCGAAGACGACAGCACAGAAGGCAGCGGAGGTAGCGCAAGGCAGGAAGTAAGGGTAGTCGATCCAAAAGCGGCTAGTGAAGATGCGCGGCCACCTATCATGAGGTTTCGCTAATTGTCCGCCTATCAAGGGGCTACACGACCGAGCTAGTCAGAATATCTCAGGATTACAGATGGGCTCAAGAACTGACCCAAGTGTCGCGCCGAATGACCAGACGATTGGCATGAACGAAAATCCTTGCGCCATGTTAGTATGATCTGTCAGTTCTGCACTCAAAGCGTCAGGAGGTCTTTCCGTCAGCCGTAGTCGCGATATAAAAACCGACCTCCCATCATGCTTTTCATGACACCAATATTGCCATTCAAAGCTCCTACGAGACAACGGCTATCGCGAAATTGAGTGATCAATGGCTCGATAGGATACTTGATTGCCCACCTCACGACAAGCTGCCAGAACGTTCTTGACAAACCAAAGCATATCATGGAGGTACAGAGCCCCGCTGTACCTATCAATAAAACCGGCTTCCTACCAATGTAATCCGAGACTCGGGACCATTGTAGGATAAACATTGCCTCAGTGAGGAAGAATAGGGACTCCTGTCTCGTTACGAATCAGAGGGCGCTCATATTAACGAAATTAGGTTGCCTACAATTAGGCCGGCATAGTACCCAACCTTTCTCTCATCGCCACCTGTGATATCCAGCTCACTGACCAGCTTGATATCGATTTGAGCGCTTTACTCGAGATCAGGAACCACGGGAGAAGGCTGACCTGGTTGATGAACGGATAGATACATTGTGATGTAATGGGTTCTCCTAATTGCAGGAGCAGCAGAACGCCAATCTGTAGTTTCGGCAGAGGAGTGATAGCAGGATTCGCCTTTGCTCGCCTGTCCAGGTCCAGGTCGGGCAGTAAAGGAGTTCGTTCATGATCAACGGTCGGTCTGGTCTCGTCGTTGTCCCTTGATGAAGACATTTCACGAGTCGACGTACGCAGCAATAGATTACAGGAAGGTGTGAAAGGTTGTGAAAGACGATATTAACAGAATAGGCTGATCTGCCTCCGCTGTCTATATGTACCAGTTAGAGTCATATGTGGGGCTCCGCGGGAAATTAGCCGGCGGGTCGTGTTCCTAAGAGGGGCAAACCTTTGCCGTGATTTGTCCACTTCACCGAAGTCTCTAGTGAAAAAAATCCTGCGATGCATTTTGAGCAGAAATAGAGATGGCTCCGTTGACAAGAACATTGATCTTTTCCCGCACGCTCAGGTTCCTGCATTTACCTTCAGATGCATTGTCTTGCCACGAACCGAATTGTGGCTGAGGATGATCATTCGTCATTGATTTGACTCTGATTACCGCTCATCTTATCTTATCGCTTGCCGTCCAAGTCCATCTCAGACCTGTTCCCGGGGTTGTCTTGTAATCACGACCAGTTTGAAAATTGCGACAAATACAACACATTGAATCAAAATACAGCTGAGATAAGTACGACAGTATTCACAGTTCATCGCTGCTTAGACAGTGCGATAAAATGCGATAAAATGAATTGTGGCACAAGTAATGATGTACTCATCACGTTTTTCCGACGCGGGATTAAGCGCCCGAGCGTCCGTGAGCGTCAAACGGCTTCACTTCGTACTACATGCAACCCATCGTCTGCGCTCGTGTGCTCATTCACCGCAGACATGAAGCGATTTGCACATGTGGCAAATGCTTAGCAAATGTCAACAAGTTTTTTGCCTTTGTGATCTCAATTTGCTATGGTTCCTTCCCACATTCTGTATTAAGTATTTGCATATAATATGTTGGAGGCAGAAATTTAAA